AGATGTGTATATTGACCATTTAGTCATCATTTATTGAGGGATTGTAACACAAATGGTCATTATCAAGACTATGGCTGTGATACATATAATTTAGGTCAATATATACAAGGTCAAGGTCACTAAAGATGATGAAATATCCAGATTTTGTAAATAGAATTTAATCAAAGGGCGACAACAAAGTTATTACTTTGTTCATAAATGACTTACACAATTACTCCCCTTGATCTTACTTTCACTTTCAATTCTAAAATAGAATTTAATCAAAGGGCATAAAATAATCCTCTTTCTTGGACTTGAGTATGTTCTAAAGAATGTAACATTTATTTACACATGTTTCATTCATTGGTCTAGATTCTTAACTGTGATAACTATGGTGTTCTGTAGACTTGGTATTTGTTCATAAAGATCATACAGTAATTACCTTATCAAATGTATACTTCCACATGCAACTGGAATTGTGAATGTTTCTGCAGAAAAACGGACAAATTTTCATTTGTCCCATATTTTCGCGATGCCGATTTTGTTAAATAAAAACATCACCAAAAAGGAAGCTTTGTTTTGTTCAAAGGTGTGGTGTAACAATTTATATGCTGTTTATAAATTAAAATAACTTAAATAATAGTTACATTAATTGAGATGGGGATATATGCCAGTATGTGTTGGTCACAATGAATTTTACCTAAGGGGGGGGGGGGTGGAGTGAATATTATGGTACAAATTTATGTACCCCCTGAATTTTTATTTTACCCCCAGTTTTCAAAGGTAAGGGGTAAAAATACTCTCAATGAAAAATAGAAGTGGGAACACTGATGAAGATGTGTATATTGACCATTTAGCCATCATTTATTGAGGGATTGTAACACAAATGGTCATTATCAAGACTATGGCTGTGATACATATAATTTAGGTCAATATATACAAGGTCAAGGTCACTAAAGATGATGAAATATCCAGATTTTGTAAATAGAATTTAATCAAAGGGCGACAACAAAGTTATTACTTTGTTCATAAATGACTTACACAATTACTCCCCTTGATCTACTTTCACTTTCAATTCTAAAAATAGAATTTAATCAAAGGGCATAAAATAATCCTCTTTCTTGGACTTGAGTATGTTCTAAAGAATGTAACATTTATTTACACATGTTTCATTCATTGGTCTAGATTCTTAACTGTGATAACTATGGTGTTCTGTAGACTTGGTATTTGTTCATAAAGATCATACAGTAATTACCTTATCAAATGTAAATACTTTCTCATAGAAATTTAATTATATTTTAATTTTCAAGTAAATATCAGTTCAGTTCTCCTACATGTATGGAGGGATTTTCATGAAACTTCATAGAAATGTTCACCACTATGAGGAACAGTGTCGCGCACATGAACCAGGTCAAAGGTCAAGGTCACACTTGGAGCTCATTGAAAAATGCTTGTCCGGAGCAATACTTCCACATGTATAGAGGGATTTCAATATTACTTGGCACAAATGTTCACCATTGTGAGGCGGAGTGTCGCGCGCAAGATTCAGGTCCTTGCGGCCAAGGTCAAAGTCACACATAGACAGTGTCTATTCTAGGAATTGAAAAATAGGGGTGATTTTCCCCCCTCTATTTAAAAAAAGGGGGCGATTTTCAAAATTAAGGGGTGCCAATATAAACTGCCAATGTTAAATCGTCTGCATTAAGTTTACACTGAGGCGTACAACCGATAAAATAATTAAAATGATAATATTTATTTAAGGCAGCAGAAGTTGTCCCCCCTTAATTTTAAAACGAAAACAAATTATTACAGAACTGCCGCGATTGATTATAAAGGGATTGGCAATACAAATAATCGACCTATCTTTCACGTCTAGATCGTAGCCAAGCTATGAATTGCCTCATTTTTCTTGATTATTTACTACACTTAAATGGCGCCCAACTGTCAGACCTAGCACACTAGTTCCGGTTGATACGGAACATTCCGTTAATTTCCGTCAACTCACATACCAGTACCATACGGTACTAAATTATTATAATTAGCTTACAGTTCCTCCCTTCGGTTTTCGGTGTAAATGTAAACAAAACAACCAAATATAATTCGGGATGGAAGTTTTACGGTTTTATTAACTTTTTTTATAGAAGGGCGATTTTCACGCACATGATTTTGAATTGTGCGCGATCTCTGAAATACTAGCGTGAATCGCGCAATCGCGCATCCTAGAATAGACACTGCATAGAGGTCAAAGTTTAGATAAAAATATGACGATGTGTATAGGGACGATTTAATCATCATTTATTGAGGGATTGTAACACAAATGGTCATTATCATGACTACGGCTGTGACACATGTACTTTAGGTCAATATATGCAAGGTCAAGGTCACTAAAGATGGTGAAATATCCAGATTTTGTCTGGAGCATATCTCCTACATGTATGGAAGAATTTTTATAATACTTTATGGAAATGTTCACCACCATGATATGTATTGCTCCATGCATGATCCAGGTCAAAGGTCAAGGTCACACTTAGAGCTCATTGAAAAACGCTTGTCCGGAGCAAAACTTCTACATTCATAGAGGGATTTCAATATAACTTGGCACAAATGTTCACCATTGTGAGGCTGAGTGTCGCACGCAAAATTCAGATCCCTGCGACCAAAGTCAATGTTACACATAGAGGTCAAAGTTCAGATAAAAATTTGAAGATGTGTATAGGGACCATTTAGTCATCATTTATTGATGGATTGTAGCACAAATGGTAACTATCATGACTACAGGTGTGACACATTTAATTTAGGTTAATATTTGCAAGGTCAAGGTCACTGGAGATGATTAAATATCCAGATGTTGTCCGGAGCATATTTTCTACATGCATAATGGAATTTTAATGTTACTTTATAGAATTGTTCACCACCATGAGACGTAGTGCCCTGCACATGAACCAAGTCTCTAGGTCAAAGGTGAAGGTCACAGTTAGAGCTCATAGAAAAACGCTTGTCTGGCGCAAAACTTCTACATGCATAGAGGGATTTCTATATAATTTGGCACAAATGTTCATCATTGTGAGGCTGAGTGCCGTGCATAAAATTCAGGTCCCTGCGACCAAGGTCAAGGTCACACATCCTGTGCATATCTTCCCTACTGATTTGTTTTAAGGTTCATTTAACAACACAGTGCCAAGAATAAAAACTTGCTTGCTAGATAACACTTATCCATATTCCATAATGCCCCCATCTCCATCTAAAGCTTTCGTAAACGGGCGTATTTTGTGACTATGGCACCCTTGTTTCACAATATGAACAGGTCCAGGCCCCTTCACAATTTTGACAAAAAATGCCCTGAAATTGCTTATTCATGAAATCATTTTTTTGTCTTCAAAAATCAACCACGGTAAATTTTACTGTAAATTACAAACTTGTAAGTTTTGTTTTCATGATACTTTATGAAATAACTGATGGAAAACGATCTTATAAGTTATAATAAACAATCAATTTAATTTTTTTATAATTTACATCAGCAACAACTAGAATTGTGGATGTGTAAACAGAAAACAAACAAATTTTCATTTGTCACATATTTTTGCGATGCTGATTTTTACGATTGTTTTACAAAGTGTAAGGTGTTTACTGTTAAAAACTTTTCTACAAATCTTATCAATCACTTCTGAACAGTTTAGTTTTACCTATTTGGGATTTTTAAAAAAAAATAATATGCAAGTAAATAAAAAACAGCTTATATTTAAAAAAATTTATTTGATATTTGATCATAAAAGAAGAGGAAAATTTCCCCCATACACTAAAATTCCCCCTGCTGAGGGTAGCGACCCACTTCCCCCAAATTGGATTGAGGGCCCTGAAACCAACAAACGAGATGTCAATAATAATAGGAGGAATAACTTATTGAAAAGTCATTTCTAATTCAGCTTGATTATTACTGCGTCATAGAAAACGCGCTTCAAAATTTTGTGTATTTTTTGTGAAGAAATTGGTCAGTCTCCGCTGCTTTGGAGCAGAAGACAGTTAATTCTTACGCGGAATATGACGACAACAAAATAAATAATTTTGTCTGGGTGCTTTCAATATATACAGTATTTAGGGATTTTATTTGGCTTATTTTATAGCCGATATTAGGTCATATTCCCAATTGAAAATAGTATATTATTTTCCCAATCCACAGGAAAAAATTCCCTATTGAAAAGTTACAAAATAAAAATATTGAATACCAAGTTTAAAAAAAACTTTGAAATAAGAGCTTCTTCACTGTTGTGGTGTTTAAATGTATTGCAGATGCCATCCTAGACAGTTACTCTTTGTTTTCATTCTATTGCTGCAAAATTTAAGTCATTCAAATTTTCCCAATTTTTAACAAAACATCGTTGAAATTACCAATTCCATGGGTGTGGGTCATGTTCCCAAAATACTGGGGGAAAAAACCCTAATATTGTACAAATGCAATCGTTTTATCAACTTGTTGAAATGGGCTAAATGCCAGACCCAGTCCATTTACTCACTAAAATTGCCAGGGACAAAAGAAAAAAAGGGCTGTTAAGTCCCTGTGACGAAACATTTTTTTCTCGTTATTCGCAATTAGTTTTTGTTTCTTTCTGTTTTCGCCTCAGAGTTTCCAATAGAAACATTCTTTAATGGTTGTTCCAGTGGGTTGAGAAAAAAACTGTTGTTAAATCTTACGTGTGTAGAAACATTTTCAGAGTAATGAATTTTGAAAACGTCGATAAAACTTTATTTTATTTCACGCTATATTTTTCAAGTGAAATACAAAGTATTAATAGTGAAATAAATGTGAAATTTAACTTGTTTGCGACATTGAAATATTATAGCGTTCTTGATTTGATTGTTTTGGCATGTGCTGTTTGGTACTACATTGTGACGTCACGTAAACAACCCTATAAATGTTTGTACAGCGTTAACGACTGAATTAAAGATATTAGTGTTCTGATTCATTTTCTTTCCTTCTAGATTGTTTTCACAACAAACAACAAAAAATTGTTTTTTATTTATCAGATTTTTCAAACAAAATGGCTCCGTCAATGAGTCAGTTTGAAAATACACAGGGAGGTAATTAGAACGGCGAGTGCATTGTTGTAGAATAATGCATGCTTCTGGCCTTCTTTGTTTATATAGAAAAATTTCCGATAGTCAGGGCCTTTTTACCTTCTATAACAGAGGCCGATTTAGGGCTGCTTCCCCAAAGAAAATTTCTTTAAAATCATGCAGTTTTCCCCAAAAATTGAATTTACATCAAGTTTTTTCTTCCCCTTTTGCAAATATACAGTGTAATTTTCCCCCAAAATTAAGGGCTGGGCTGCTTCCCCAACCTGTGAAAAAAAGCCCTGATAGTGTAAGAATTTGATATCATAGTTTGATTTGTAGTTAAAATCATAGTCGGGCCCACGATAAACATTTGTACATTTTATACTGAATTGACGGTTTTACCGTTTATAGTCTGTATATCTGATTGGTGATGGTGAAATTCTTGCGTCACAAATTACAGTGAGTTTTTTCACTGCATTTTACAGCCGAATAAAGGCTGTTTCCCCTAGCTCAAAATAGGTAAATTTTCCCCTAAAATATCTCGTGCTCTTCCATTACAAGAACAATGACATAACAGCATCTGACTTATATCAGCTAAAATACAGACAGCTGTCCCTATAGACAGCCTATGCTATGTACCATGCATGTTAAAGTGAATAAACAATGAAAATTTTATAAAAATGGGTTGGTAATTTCCATTCTCATTGTTTTGGAATCTGATTTTAGGTTTCCCCTCTTTTCAGTTTTATCTCGCTATATTTTCCCCTTCGAAAAGCCACAGGTTGTTTTGAAAATTGTAAAAAAAATCACTTACTAATTTCATTGCATCGTGGCAGAAAATAGTGCACCAAAAACGGGCTTTGGCAGAAACACTGTGCAACATCAGAGTTAGAAACTTGTGGGAGTGCAACAATCTGATTTTTTTTTTTTTTTTTTTGAGATCACATACAGGATATTGCCTTGCTTCAGAGACAACTATAGCCCTTTTGAAATACTACTGTGATGCTTCAAAGTGTTTTATTTTATTGCAGGTAAAGGCATGGAGAGTTGGGATGAATCAGCTGCGCCCACTGTGGCAGAATTGCCAGAAATCAAATTGTTTGGAAAATGGTCAACAGAAGATGTTCAAGTCAGTGACATCAGTTTAACTGTAAGTATTACGATCGAACAACTGAAGGTTAAGAAACTTTTGACTAACAGTTATTAAGATTAATAAAGATAATAAATGCCAGGTATAAGCTGTAAGGAATAAATGGATATCATAATGCTTCAATTATTAGTGCATTTAAACTGCTGCAGTGGCATTTTGGTTTGTGTGGAAAAGCTTACAAGTTTGATCCCTGCTTCAGTCATAACAAAAATCAGTTTATTATTGGTACATGTAGCCATAATGAGTGTGGAGTAAGGAGTTCATTGTATAGCAGGTGCAAGTATATCCAACAATTTTGTTTATAAAATGCATCCATTTGCCTTTTTTCCCCGATTTGATAAGGTTTTTATGGGACATTTTGCTGCTACATAAAGTAAAACAGTACAGTACTGATGCATAAATCTGGAAGTCTTGTAGGTAAAATGTAGGTGAAATGTGACTTAGTACATGACAAGAAACAAAACACTTGATTATTCTAAACTAAGATATTCAATTGTACCATTGTTATAGCTTAATGTTTAAGAATTCCTATTGCAGGATTACATTGCTGTTAAGGAGAAGTATGCCAAATATCTACCTCACTCCAGCGGTAGGTACCAGGTCAAGAGGTTCCGTAAGGCACAATGTCCAATCGTTGAACGTCTTGTCAATTCTCTGATGATGCATGGCCGAAATAACGGCAAGAAGTTGATGGCTGTCAGAATTCTGAAACACGCCTTTGAGATCATCCATCTTCTTACAGGAGAGGTAATAACTATTGATGATCTTGCTTAATATTGTATTGCTTTGCTGAGTATCTCCTCAAGCTTAGCACAATAAGAAGAGTCATATTAGTTATCCATGGGTCACTAGTTAGATATTTGGTCGAGGCTTGATTTCCTCATGGCAATGAATTGTGTACATTAAGTCATTCTGTACATTTTGTATTCTCACTGATTCAGAAATCAATGTTGGATAAGTAGAGAAATACTTAATATGTAAGTTATCCAGGCGGCCTGTTAGGTGGATTAGCCTTGGAAATATGACCAAAATAATGTCATTAAAATGTAGGGAGGCTGGTTTGATAAGAACAGGTAATAAATGTTAAATCATTATGATGGATGTATTTGAATTGTCTCCCTTACAACTTACTAAGAAAAAAAACTCTTTGATATTAAAATGCTTTCGCATAACTGAAAAGTAAGTTGCACCTGTTGTTACCAGAAACAAGTAGTAAATAACTGAAAGAAATGGTCAAATAACATGTTATATAAAAGATCTGAGATATTGATTGAAAACTGTTTCTCATTTCAGAACCCTCTCCAAGTTTTAGTGAATGCCATCATCAACAGTGGACCACGTGAAGACTCAACACGTATTGGACGTGCCGGTACCGTGAGACGTCAGGCTGTGGATGTGTCCCCACTCAGACGTGTGAACCAGGCAATCTGGTTGCTGTGCACAGGTGCACGTGATGCATCATTCAGAAACATTAAGACTATTGCTGAATGTTTGGCTGATGAACTTATCAATGCTGCAAAGGTGAGACTTGTTACTGACTAGAAGGCATATTATCCTACTTAGTTCTTGCGCCATTGCGGCTTTGTAATGAAGAAATATATGATTATGATACAAGAGTGTAATTTGGTGATAATGTAGATAATATGTTGCAATACTTATGGCAATGAATACCAATTAAAAACTGAGGGAAAATACAATTAGAATCATCTCTTTAAATGTATAATTTGCTCAAATTTGATATTTGAAAATATAATTCTTGCTTTACTGCCGTAATACATTCTCTTTTTAAATGTAAAATAACCATCTTTTTAGTACACAAAGAGAAGATATGTTATCTTTAAACTCTGCTTACTGGGTAAACAATATAAATACAATGTCATTAAAAAATGGTAGTTTCTTTAAGAAAGGACCAAATTAACTTGACCAGTAATAAGGAATGCAGCTTTTCAAATAGTCTCTTACTAAAATAAGACATATTCAAGAATAAGACTTTTAAAGATTTCATTAAAATTTTTGAAATTAGAGTACTTTGTTGAATGATGGGTGTAATGTATCATTAAGCTGTATGATAGAAGTATCGTAAATTTAAAACTGATATAGTGACTGTGTTGTTCAGTGATTCAAGCAGTAGAAACCCTATTCTGACTTACCTGTAGATTTCTGTTGTAAGCTGTGTTTAACGATCCTGTAACTCGATATTTTTATGGTTTTGTATCATAAATCTAATGCTCAAGTAAGGATTTATCAATATTGTAAGTTCAAAAAAGAATTATTTGTAAAGATATTACCTAATTTACTTTTCATGTAAATAAAGGGAGGTAATTAGAAATCAATTATCGATCAAGTGTTAGCCAAAGTTTTCAATAAGAAATGAATGCATGCATAGATTTTATTGATTACTTATAATGTGAATAAACATTTGGAGTAAATATTTAACATATTTTTGGATGTTTGGAAATTGTTTTAGAAGAATAATTATACACATATATTTAAAAAGTTCACTTAAGTGTTGTTACATCCTTAATTACAACCTACAGGATCTTTAATATTATAAATATTTTGTGTTTCAGGGATCCTCAAATTCCCATGCTATCAAGAAGAAGGACGAGTTGGAGAGAGTTGCCAAGTCTAATCGTTAAATTATACATAGACTCTCATTTTACACTGCTTGTCTTAACTGGTGGTGAAAACAAAGAAAAAAAATCTCATAATACAAGTGTTGTTTTCATTTCTTTAAAGCTAAGAAATTATTGCTAAAGGAATGTAGAAGGTTTTATAAGTTGGAATGCTGAAGGGTTATTGGTGTTAGAAGGCAGTTTGACAAATAAAATGCTTTCAACCTCTCTTCTGAATGGATCTAATGGCATTTTTTTAGGGAACACCACTGGTCCAAATGTCAAAAACCATAAAATTGGAATACTTAATGATCATTTGAGGAAGTATTTTTTACTACCAAAAGTCGACATGTCCTGCAATATAAGGTAATTCAAAGATTTTTCATTTATAGTCCTTGCTGAAAAAGTACAATAATTTTGTTTTCCTAGTAAAAGAAAAAATTACTTGTCGATTGTTTAACAGGTAATTAATAAATGCCAGGTTATTTTCTGTCCCGTCAAACATACGAATTGTGTGATAAGCAGCATTAATTGAACCTTTTTTATATGCCCGAGAGAATTTCGGGCATATTGTGTTATACATCCTGGCGTCCGCCCATTAGCAATTTGGTTTCTGGAGCATAACTTAAGTTCCATTTGGCCAACAATATTCAAACTTCATAGTATGATTGTCCATATTCTGTAGAAGACCCCTTCTGATTTTGCGGTCTAAGGTCAAGCTCACTATAACCTTAAAACTGAAAACGGTTTCTGGAGCATAACTTAAGTTCCATTTGGACAACACTATTCAAACTTTATTTGATGATTATCCATATTGGGTAGAAGACCCCTATTGATTTTTGGGTAACAAGGTTAAGGTCACTATTACCTTGAAACTGAAAACAGTTTCTGCTCAATAACGAGTATTAATCAACCTACAACTGTAAAATTTTATAGAATGAACAGCCAAATCCAATAAATGACCCCTAGTTATTTTAGGGTCAAAAGTCAGGGTCACAATGACCTTTACACTGAAAATTGTGGTTTCTGGAACATACCTTGAGTACCATTTGGCTAACAGTGTTCAAACTTCATAGGATGATTGCCTATATTGAATAAAAGATCTATATTGGGGGTTACAAGGTCAATATCAAATTACCTTAATATTGTTGACAGTTTCATAACTGTCAAACGTCATAGAATGATCACTTATATCGTGACATTAACTATATGCCCTAAAATATTTCCTTATATTATTTTATACCCCTGGCGTCTTTCAGCCCATCCGTCGTAGCATTTTTGATGCATATAGTCTCTGCTTTGTTCATCTGTCTGTTCGTCCGCTTTTCTTGTCCGGGACATAACTTTGAAACAACAAGAGGGATCAAGGTAGATCGTAACTCTGCCTTGCCTAATTTTGGAGTTATTGCCCTGTGATTTTTTTTTACACGTTGAACTTTGTCCGGGACATGACTCTTAAACTATAAGAGGTATCAACATGAAACTTTATAGGCAGATAGATCTCATTGAGTAGGTGTGCAGTGCACAAGAACCGTAACTCTGCCATGCCTTATTTTTGAATTATTGCCCTTTGTTGTTTTTTTACACTTAGTCCGGGACATAACTCTAAAAGTATAAGAGATATCAACTTGAAACTATGTAGGTAGATAGATCTCATTGAGTAGAAGTGCATTGTTAAAGAATCATAACTCTGTCTTGCCTACTTTTGAAGTTTTTGCCCTTTGTTCATTTTGACACTGAACTTTGTCTGGGACATTACACTAAAATTATAAGAGATATCAACATAAAAAAACACTTTCGGGCATGTAATGCTCCGCCTAGCGTGCTCTTGTTTACCTACATTATGTGTGCTCAGTGGCCACAAATTTCTTTAATACTGACCATTGGCCGGTTATGACGATTAGAATAAAAAAAAACATCCGCTGGGTATAGAAAAAAATCTGCTTCATACCTGACCTTGCTTAATTAATACCCAAAACTGCAGTGACCTGTTTTCCATCGAAAATATTAAATGAAATTTGCAATAAATTGTGAACTGAATTAAATTGTATGTCAACAACAATATACTTGAAGCTACTTAATAGGATATAAATATTCGTAACTGAGTTCCAGGCAATTCTAGATATTCTACCCGCCTTCAATGAGTAAGTACAAACACGGGGCATATGCCACGTGACACTGGCGATCTGCTGGGGCCCCAAAAAAACTTTGATTTGGTTTTACGTCGAACCGACACAGTATAGGTCATTTGGCGACGTTCCAGCTTTACTGGTGGAGGAAGACCTGGGTGCTCTTTCGGGCACAAACGGGTCCCTAAAACGACACAGCTGTGTTGAATATATCCTGTCCTCGTTTTACCATTATTTACTGAAATACCATTGTACATGCGAAGACAAGAATTGCTGATAAAAATCGACACTGAAACCAATTTTTAACCGTTATGCTTCGGATCGAACTCATTTTGCCGAGGGGACCAAGTGGCCATTCAAGTATTTATGAACATATCACCAATTACTTGTTAGATATTACAAGAAAAACGGTTTGTAATGATACTATATTACTGTACATGCAGAAGATAGTATTTTAGGTAATTATTTTTTGTAAACTAAACAGCTTTTGGTGACAACAAGTACATAATTATGAAATACAAATTACTTGAAATAAGTCAATGATAAATAAGAGAACATTTTACTTTAAAAATATTTTTAATAAATTCAACAGATAAAAAAGTGAAAATAATGAACATTTATAACTTCAAATTGAATTTTACATTGTAATCCACCGTGATACTTGTTACACAAATACAAGAAATATGAAATACAAGAAATAAATGGGACCTAAACGTTTATAATGTAAGGGATGACAAGGCGTGTGATGCAGTTAACTTATAAGATGAAAACAGGTGCGGATCCAAGATTTTTACCAGAAGGGCTCACATGCTTTAGACAAGGAGCAATGCCTATTTTAGAAGGGATTATCATTGTACTACTTTTCTGTGTGGGTGCGTTTTAAGTCAAATTTTTGCTTGATTTTCAATGTAAAAAAGCGCAAGTTAAATTAATACCCAGACCTTGGTATTAATTACATTTTAGCCAAACTTCAGGTAGTGGGGTCATGATCCGCTTAACCCCTCCACATGGGATCCACCTATTAGTGAATCTCGCAATAAACCTTCTCAAACATGGCACTTGATGAAATAACAACAACAAGTAATAGTAAGAGTAACGCATATACAGGTTATAATTACGACATGACCGGAAAGATGTTGATACGTAGAAAACAAGATTAAAGTTCGACATTTTCCACAACCATGCTGTTAAATGTATATTTCCGTATTTTTATTTATAAAACAAGTTAATAGGGTTTTTTTATGAATCCGGCAATAGCTATTGATAAAAATTGCTAAATTTTTAGTTATATTGGAATTCGTCGCTGTTTATCAACAATTTTTTTTTTATATATGACAGTTCATAATACTGGCGCATACTGTACGATCGGTCAACTAGCACATTCATGCCGCCCGGTTTCTGTTGTGTTTGTATGTATGCACACAGAGAAAAGGTAAATAAAACTTGATCATGGTCTCCTGCTTTGTACTTGTTGACAAAAATGATACATGGTTTTGTCCAAATTGAAAGATGCACACGTCCATTTAAGATATTTAGCGTGGAGACGGTCCTGAGAGAAACCAATTTTTTACCATCACACTCGAATCAAACTCAAACATGCAGTGTTTTGGACGTGTGTGTAATCAGCGTCTTGTTTTCGTAATCTCCAATATTGCTCTTTGAATGTTTGTCTTTTGCTTTGTGCTGAAAAGCAGCAACGCCTGCGACTAGCAGAAGAATTATGACAAAAGAAATTCCTAAACGCACAACCACAGTTAGGAATCTGCCTATAAAACAACCTGGATGGAAGAGAAATAGATTGTTTTGATCTTAGCATATTGTTATAATCAGAGACTGAATTTCAAAGTTTTCATATAGATACAATACAAATTAATTTGCTATATATACATGTATTTCAAAGATTTTTGTTAAAAACACTATCTTATTAAAATAAAATCTTAGTTTAATAATGCTTTGATTTTAAAGGCACACTATGTCTCAGAAACGATTTTTAGAAAGGGCAAACATTAGTTATAACCTTTCATTATTGGTTTAAGAGCATGATAGATGCTTATCACCTGACGAATGTTCCGCTGAATGAGAAATTAGTTGTCCTTGAATATTATTGTAAAATGTAAACGAAATGGTATTTTACGTCCTTATGTTGGCCAATAAGTAACTTTCGTGACTATAAAATAGAATACAAAAAATAAAATGCTTTTCGGAAAATGAAATGAAGTAATTTCTCTGACATAATCATTACGGTTTTCCTTCACCATGTACTGAAAAATCCAATACCTGTATATTGCGTGTTTTTATTTTAACAAAATAACGGGAATCCAATGCAGTAAAAGATAATATATATGTAGTGCTTACGGAATCCGCTTTCTTGTGGAGCACAGTCCGGACAGTTCCTTTTCCAGCAGATCAGAGGCTAAAATCACAATCAAATTTACATTTTCAAAAAATATTATTTTTTAATGGTAAATAGAAAGTATATATTTATTTTATTACATTCGTAACTGTCAAATAAAGCTTGTTACATTTATTGCTTATGCTGTCTTACTATGTACATTTGTACTAGGTACATTTGTTATAAAAAGGATTCTATTTAACATAGAAAATAGTAAAGTGGTAAAGCTAGCTGATTAAGAATAACTTGTTTATAGATTTAACGCGGAGGGTTTAAATAATATTGAAGGCATGTTCTTTAAATATTGTTTATGAGGGGAAGTAATTAAGCTAATTTGTTGCATTGAGTGTTAGTGATTTCCTTTCTTACAATTGCTACAAAAAGAATATGGGCTACTCATGTCTGTATTTGAAAACTCGGTAAAATACCCCCAGCCGATTTTGCTGCATTTACATTTTTATGTGTTAAATAAAAAAAAAACCGCCAATCATTCAAGAGGAATATTTTTTATTGTTTTCGAATTTGACAGATCTTTATAAAATCACCAGAAGGAAACATTGTCTTACCGGTAATGTTGTATTTTCAGAATCTGCTTCAGTTAGATTTCCCTCTTTAACGGTATCGGTGTTTTTGTCGCAATCCTTCACTGGATTTATGCGGATTATTACTCCATTAAAACCTGCATCGGCGTGCGTTGTCGGAATAGGGGCATATTCACCCTCTTTATTCTTCTCTTCTAATTCATTTTTATCGGTACCTAATTCATCAAAGCCGTCTTTAAATGTTTTGGCACTATAATGAATTTGAACCCGTATCTCACTTTCATCTCTTTTTATATCTTTTCCAATTTTCGGGACTAAATCACTTCCAACCCCACCTCTGTTGTTATATCCGTCTATAAATTCAGTAAAGGAAGTCGATGTTCTTGGGTTTCTTTCGATGTCATTTTCTTTACCAATAGAATCTTTATTGCTGCTGACATCAGTATGTGCGGCAGTTTCCAAGTTGTTATTTCCTATTATGACTTTCGTTTCAGTAACCCCTTTCACTGATTCTTTGCCAACCTCTTCAACTTTACCATATATAGCATGCGGACAATTGTCCTGCACACAAACGCCAAATATAACCAGCAACAAATATAATGCTCTACCAGTAATTCCCATGACTTATATAATTATCAATATATTTTGATTTTCGTTTTGATGTTCTCACATTCTTCCATGTAAGCTAGTGTTTTAACATTTTTTACGATTAAACGTTATAATGTAATAAATTATACGTGATTCCCTCACCTGATAAGCTACGGTAAGTGTATGCACAAGAAGATATTTTTAAGATACATAGATTATATAGGCTGTGTGCAAATCAATAGGATATAATTATTCTAATTTTACATTTGTTTGTATATACATGTACATGTATATATTTGATATAAGCGGGCGAAACCCAGGTATGTTTTGGCACCGATTCTTATTTAAGTGTAAACAAATAGAATGACAAAGGTGTTCTATTCAACTATTTTTAAATGCTTACCTAATGTATGTGTCATATTGTATTGTAAGGTTTATTTATAAGTTATATAGGTTCCACTTTTGGTTTTGATTATCACAAGTTCATAATAGACTATGTACAAGTGTTACATTATGTTAGTCGACCAGACCCTGTGGTGGCTAGAAATGTTTCTTTTAAACCGTATTAACTCAGTATCATTTTTGCCCGGTACTTCGGGATAATTGAATGTAATGCATTAGTGTTGAATGACACTGCCTATGCCGTGAGAGATGACAACTTTTTTTTTATATTCTCTCGTGAACACGCCCAATCTAACCTTGTATGTAATTACAATCCTTTGATTTGATTGCAAGGCATCTGCACATACCAGTTAGAATTGTCATGATTGGTGGACAAACAAGTATTCAATCAATATAGATGCCGTATTCCTTCTTGCTTCTGAATGAATGGTATAAAAATGCGATTATAAAAGAGCTTACTATCATCCAAATAATGAAATAAATACGACTGTTTAATATTTTCATTATTTGTTATTAGAATGTTTCGCTCTATGTTATTTTTATATTTTCCATTATGTTTTGTTAACAAAACGGATAAAGGGAGGGTTTACCTCCTGTAAATTACAAGTTAAATAGCTGAGGAATGAGTTCACACCCCATCAGGAGAGAGCTGTTCCTTCCTTGAGAAAGAAACTTTACACACATTGCTTTGTATTGGTTTGTTCCAACAGGGTCTTTCAAATATTCTATTTGAAAGACGCTGCATGGTTCCAAGAAAGAAGTCGACAGTGTCTTTATTTGCTCAAAGATAGGACAATTGGATTAAAATCAGTTCTATATTTATAAACAAAAACTTAAGTTGATATTTATTATATGTAACATGTGAACATGACAAACATAAAAGCAAATGTATACTTTTAGTTGCATAAGATGTTGGCGCGTGCCGTGATATAAGGGTGAATAAAGCCCAAACTATATATAAATATGACCCGAGGTGCTGTTTTATATAACTGGACAGAAAATGAATGTGTATACTCTACTTTTAATGAGTGTCCATAAAGGGCACACAAAGCAGATTTCTTTTCGCAGGTTCTATTGGTTTGCAGCCTATACTGGCCAGTAAAAAAACACATTGATGTTATTGTGCTGCAGGTGTCTCAGGTCTCAAGCTGTTCGATCCGTGTTGTATAGCATTATCAGACTGCTGTGTTAGTGTCTAGTGTAGTTTGAACATTAATTACACACAGTCAAGGTATCAACACACTATAAATAGTTGGTATACTAAAATTTGAAAGCCGGCACGTGAAAACAACAAAAGACGTTCACATTGCCAATGACGTGAAAATTAAAAAAAAAGTGAATTACCCTTGAAATGTTAAAACTAAATATGATTGGATAACGAACAGCAAATTTCAAAAGTTTTATATTTATTTCAAGAGCTAAAGAATTGAATATCGTAAAGAATTCAAAATGTCAATTCTTATATACAACTACGGATCGATTAAATAGGTGGAACGATATGGTTATGAAACTACCCGTCTATATGACTGAAATACTGTTGGAAAAAGGCGTAACATGAAACAAACAAACAAACAACCAAACAAACAAACAAACAAATAAAATTAAATAGGTAAAATTTCAGCGTAATTGAACCAGTTATTTAAACCAGGAAGTAAATCTGGAATAATAATAATAACAATAACGTGTATACTAAATTTAGACAAAGAAGTCAATTATTTAGGACAGTCTGTATATTGGTTAAATGACAAAATATCGACCTGGTTCTATTTTAAAATAATGAATCTTAAATCAATTAACACACATTTAGAAGTACTTTATTTACGGATTGAAATAAATCATGAGTAAAACTGACAATTTTAGAAATATGATATACTCTGGTATAAAGGTATACGTGACATGTTATTAGTGATTAAAGAAAAGTAGGAATTTCAATAGGTTTTAATGTAGCTTACCTTTTTGAACTGTGAAGATAAATGTATTTTCGTTTACTTAACATGGTCGTATTAGTTGAAATAAAGAAATTCCCCCCCCCCCCCCCAAAAAAAAAAAAATAATTCTAGCTAAACTGCGTTTCATTTAGATCTTATGTCGTGAAAAAGAAACACGTCGTGAATTTTTAAAATTTAAAGTGCGTCGTTTGGCAATATTGCGGTTATTCAGATGGAAAGATCCATGCTATTAACGACGGTGTGTCTGACTTGTCATTTTGATGGTATGACTTACTAATTTTGTATCAAATATACGAACAATGTGATATATCTTTATTTATAGAACTTCCTAAACTTTGTAACAAAACCAAAATCACAGAGAACTTTGATGCGAACTTTTGTGAGAACTGAAGTGTAACATGTATCAATAAATGTGCTAAGCAATTATATATATACATACACTATGTATACTATAATACATATGTATAATATAATACATACATGATTTATATACCAAAGTAAATGTTTCATATAAATCTGTTTAGAATTTTTTTTCATCATTGGACGACATGTCTGTCTTTATTTTGTACGCATATACAAATTGAGAAAATAAAATAATTATAAACTGTATAATATAAGCTGTAAGTTGCATCACCTTAAATAGTGATAAAAGAAGATCATCCGACAAGGATATCTATATATTCATTGTTCCTGCCCTAATAAATGTTATCCGGGACACTGCAAATGTGGGGTTTCCCATGGTCATCCCATGTACTAACAACTTTTACTGTTATAGCTTCATGGTGCAGTACCGGACACAATAGATAACCAACCTGTTGGGCTAATTTTCGTATACTTATCTCATAAAATACTTAGAAATAAATTTAAAAATTCAACTGAGCGAACAATCTAAAATGTTACATCTTATTGGTCTAGATCTGCACCAAAACAAAACATTTAGCTTTGTTACCTCATCTCATAAAAGCCAATTTAATGTAAACCATTTTGATTTGATCTCCGTCTACACTGGATTTATCAATGTTGTTTTATCATCTGTATAAACAACGTCATGCTCTGTGTCTTTTATGGCTACACTTTTGCATTTCTTTTTGGTTGTTGAAATATAGACGCATGAAAACAACAAGAGGATGACAGTTCCGAAGATAACAACGCGTACTATGACTGTAAGGGAACTGCGAACAAAGCAACCTGTATGAATACAAAAACATTGTTACACCTGGCACAATGTCAGACTATTATCATCTGTGACGAACATTGAAATGTTATAAATTTCACATGCTTTGATAGCAAATGCAGGTAGTTTTTCATTTTCTAGTGGTCATGCGATAATAGTTTAATGATGATAATAATGATGATAATAATAATAATTAACACATTTTACAACTATTCGCTATTTAGGAGAAAAAATGTGTAATCGGCCAATCAGGTCATTTAGAAGACGAGAAACGGTATTCCGATGGACCTGAGTTCGAGTTCCTGACAAACTCACACTGTGAACATCAACATGAAAAGATAACGCAAGAAAAAGTGAATGATTCTTATTTTCATCATTGTTTTCTTGTTGATCAATTTTGAAATAATGCTCGGAGGGGCACTTGAGGTCTTCCTAAACCAGCAAAATTATTGAAAGTCGCCATATGACCTTTACAGTGTTGGTGCGACGTAATGCCAAACAAAAACATTTGATGGAGAAGGATTATTATCAAAGACAATCAGCAAATTTCCTGCATTGATATAGATATATCAAAAAGTTTGGAATATATATATTATTAAAACAACTATAATATTGTGAGTTAAAGCCAAAACAAATCTCATTTACACAGATGCATTTTGCAATATCAAATCAATTTGCAGACATATGTTGTGTTAGATAAATAACTGTCAATATTTGTGCGGAAATTTAAAAGAAAACATCCGTTTGACGTGTTTCTGATTTAATGTAATATCTTATTTACTTTCTACGTTGTTGTTTAAATCAATGTATTGGAAAACCATAACTTTTCATATATATATTACTTCATTTCTACAAGTTAACAAGTCGGCGTATGACGGTAACAATATCTATATTTAACGGAACAAATTGGAAACCCGGCTGTTCTGCGCAGCACTAAATAAATAAAGAACACTACTTACGGATTTCGGACTCTTGTGCAACACAATCAGAGCAATTGATCTCCCAACATATCATCGGCTAGATGTAATATGATTTAATGTATTTTAATGTTTGATAAACACGTATGATTTAAAAATAAACAAAACCAATTTAACTTTGAACATATCTCAACTATTTAAATAATTGAATTATTTATTCTAACTCAAATTTGAAGAAAGCAGAAACCACTCCAAAGGTCTCTTTCCTGAAAAAAAAACAAACACGAGAGATGCAAATTCATTCATCGTCATGATGAGAATATGTTAACCAACATTTCATAGATTCTTTGATGTAATAATATTCTACCTACAAAAAATTATCGCTTTCTAATCTTGCATTTTAATTATTTTGTCGTGCATTTGAATCATTTGGTATCATAATTGAATCTTATGTTGGGTTGTTTACTTACCGGTAATGTTTTGTTATTAACACCAAGTTCGTCAACATTCGAGCCACCTGTCATGCCAGGATCCCCTTGTGTAGTTTCTACGTACATTATTACTTTGATTTCATTTGCTTTATCCCATGATTTAGTCAAAGCGTTTTCATCCGTAATTCCATCAGCGTCTGACGTATCTTTAACATCACGATACTGGTCATAATCATTCTTGATTGGATAAGCACGATCATTGATCGCTTCAAGAATTTTTAATTCTTTTCCAGCATTTATGTCTTGAATGTTATCAAGAATGTCTCCATTTTGATGCGTTATGAGTTTGTAAATGAGCCGTTATTTAATTCGTTACGCAAGTTCTATAGAACGATGACCCTTTTGTAATACATCAGTAATGTCTTTTTTATTAATAGTTGTTTATGTCCTTATGCTACTCATGTTAATGTTTTCAAATAAACCATTTTTGCAACACCATAATTGTAAACAAAACAAATGACTGTCAGAAAATACGGTCTTATCAAATACTGTTTGTAGTTTTGAATGATATTGTCACTGACTTTAAAATATTGTCTATACTAATTGGTTTGCCTATCTGAAAATGCCAAATATAGTAGCATCGCATAAGTGTCAACATTATAAATACGTAAATGAATTATAAATAATCATCGTAAATTCGTAATCTTTTGATGCATGTCCATACAAAGTGAAATTTGATAAATATCATGATTTTTAAATTTAAATGAATTTGTAATAATTAAAAGTATATTCGTTTAGGTAAGTGTATAATTAGAAAATAGATTATCTTTATTATTTAGTAATTTTTGCGTTGTTCTTTTTAATTAAATATTATATAAAAGAAACCCTACATAGAAACCTATACAGTTAGTGTTTGACATTGGTTTAGAAAAAGAAGTTGCCAGAATAATAAGACACACTGTTTAATTTTGATTAAAGTTTTGTTCGAAAGGAGTCGTTTTGCAAATAGTAGTTAAAATGTTATCTTGTTTTTGCCGTCGTAGAAAAGCGAAAATACCGAGCTACGTGTATGAAGAGATTGAGAAGAGGCAGAGACAAGCCGGGTTAAAAACATTCATGGCTCGGAGGGGCGTTGATTGGATTTCTAGTACATGTAGTATCAACGCGGGAAACAGTCGGAGAAGGTATTGTTTTAATCCCCAGTTTATATTTAAAAGATCAGATAATAGAGCTGATAACTATGAGATTTAAACGGGTTAGAAGAATAATAAAAATAAGAATATTAAACAATAATGTTCGATGTCATATTAGCAACGTGGGAGGAGTAGCCTTAAAATTCACTACTGTAAATCTCTTAACTTGATTTATCCATTTTTCAAACTTGACAAAACCATTTTATGACTGTCTGAGTAGCGAATAGCGCAGGCCATGATCGAACGCCACAACTGTGCCGGCTTACATTTGCCTACACTTTATTCAGGAGTAGATATTGTCCAGGTCATAAGAATTAGAGTTTAAGACAAAATTGAAAAAAGTTTTTTTTATAATTATTATCCAAAATTATCCTACAAATTAAATTTGTGAAGCATATATGAAATTTTCATTTTGGTAAATATGTTTAAACACTCTGTTAAATTGTCAAGAAAAAATAGGTATAAAGCATGTACACCTTTCTCATCTTTTATACGTGTATATAAATCCTTTCTTTTTATGATTCAGAGAAACAAGAATTCTCTTTCATTTTACATTGCTATTTTATTTCATATCAGTGACCAAAACATGGAGAAGAACAAGCTGCGACAGTTAGGAATATCTGAGAAAAATGCAACCATCGGAAATAGCTGAAAGAATACATAATTATTTGTGATGAGCGGTTCCTTGTTGACTGCAATTTCACAAGTAGCGTTTATATCAAGATCTTCAAGGCCAGCGCTACATTCAAACCATGTTAGAAGGCGAAGCAACCACTATTTCTATCTTGTTCACAGCCCAACAACACAACGATGCACTTATTTGTTTGTTTGCATCGCGTCAATGTGTCCTGCACCGGTGAAGGAGCAAAAACCTGTGAACATGTACAAAGCTATTCCGTAGCAAAACTGATATAGCAACTCTTATCTGCCGTGCAAGAATTACACAAAGAAGACGTAACTTGACTTGAGGGCAAGCCTAATAGTAACTTAGTAACAAGACAGTTGTTCTATAAACTTTGTTAGAGGAAATACCACGAAAATAAACTATACGGCTATTTAAGTTATTGTTTGTTTATGTTGTAAAGAGGGCCTACCCTTATTTCTATAGACCAAAAGAAGTATACACTAATTCTGTTTCTTTCTGTTTAAATGCCCAACTATTTCACAGATCTGTGCAGCAACAAAACTGCTTGGATTATTGTTATTGTTTCAATATCATGACAACCTTTGTCTCCATAAATGACCAGACAACATTGAAATAAATGGAATGTAAATAAGGTGTATTCTTTTTGGATAAGAGGACCATAAAATGTAAGATATGGCATCATTAGACGCCTTGCGTTCAACCTTTTTTATGCCTAGTTTCGGAATAAATTTAAATAGAACATGCATATGTTTAGCGAACAACAAATGTTCCTACTGACGGATCCTAAAGCTTTTTCTATTTTCAATAAACCCTGCTTATAAGCCATTTTCAAGTTACAAACCGTAGGTGTTTCTTGCATAAGTTGAAATAATTGCAAGGTGATTGACACTACAATTAGATATATCATACAGTACTTCAATTCAATTCAAGTTTATAATCATAGATTGCTATTCGCCGGCCCAAACACAATTTGTACAATATCATATTAATATTGCATGTGGTTATGATCATTACAAACTTGTGATCACACCCAATCAAACTGTGTCTGTAATTACAATCTTTTGATTTTTCTCCGTTGATTTTCATACCATAATTGTCAAGATTGATGAAATATCAAGTATTCAATCGATAGAAATGCAGTATTTCTTATTTCTAAAATAGCGTTGCTTCTGAATACCGCGTATATACAATTATAAAAGAGCTAACTATCAATCAGTTAATTATTACAAATAAAATAATATATGAAAAAGAATACGATTGTTCCATTTTTTCATTATTTGTTATAAGAATGTTTCGCTGTTTTTTATTTATTCATATTTCCTATTATGTTTTGTTTACAAAACGGATAAAGGGGTGGTAAACCTCCTTTAATTGACAAGTTAAATGGCCGAGGATCGTTGCATTCCTATCAGGTGCAAGTCCTTGTTTCCTTGAGGAAGAAACTTTACACACATTACTTTGTATTGGTTTGTTCCTACAGGGTCTTTCAAATAGTCTACTTGAAAGACCCTGCATGAGTCGACAGTGCCTCTATTTGTTTAAAGCGCTCTATACAATTGGACTAAAATCAGTTCTATCTATCTATTCATTAACACAAAATTAAGTCGATATTTATTATATATATATATGTAACATGTGAAGATGTCAAACATAAAAGCAAATTTATACTACGATTAGTATTAGTTACATAAGATGTGGCGGGTGCCGTTATGTAAGGTAGAATATAGCCCGAATGAAATAAAAAAATACCCGAGGCACTGTTCTTTATAACTGGTGGGAAATTGTGTGTGTTTGTAGTTAATGTTTAATGAGGTTCCATCCGCCCGTGTAGGGCACAGTAAGCAGATTTCTCTTTCGCGTGTTCTATTGGCTTGCAGTCTGGCGAACATGTTGGCCATTAAGAAAACATTGATGTTATTGTGCTGCAGGTGTCTCAGGTCTCAAGCTGTTCGATCCGTGCTGTATAGCATTATTAGACTGCTGTGTTAGTGCCTGGTGTTGTTTGAACATTAATTACACACAGTTAAGGTATTAACACACTATAAATGGTTTGTATACTAAAATATGAAAGCCGGCACGAGAAAACAACCCTTAGCGCTACATACGCACCGTGTTAGAAGGCGATGCTACCACTATTTTTATCTCGTTCACAGCACAGCTACACAACAATGTACTTATTTGTTTGTTTGTATTTTCGCGTCAATGTGTCCTGCACCGGCAAAGGAGCAAAAACCTGTGAACATGTACAAAGCTATTCCGTAGAAAAACTGATATAGCAACTCTTATCTTCCGTGCAAGAATTACACAAAGACGACGTAACTTGACTTGAGGGCAAGGTTTGGCAAAATAGTAACTCAGTAGCAAGACAGTTGTTCGATAAACTTTGTTAGAGGAAAAACCACGAAAATGAACTATACGGCTATTTAAGTTTTTGTTTGTTTATGTTGCAAAGATGACCTACCCTTATTTCTATAGACCAAATGAAGTATACACTTTTTCTGTTCCTTTCTGTATAAATGCCCAACTATTACACAGATCTTTGCAGCAACAAAACTGCTTGGATTATATGGAAAAGAATACGATTGTTCCATTTTTTTTTCATTATTTGTTATAAGAATGTTTCGCTGTTTTTTATTAATTCATATTTCCTATTATGTTTTGTTAACAAAACGGATAAAGGTGTAGTTAACCTCCTTTAAATGACAAGTTAAATGGCCGAGGATCGTTGCATTCCTATCAGGTGCAAGTTCTTGTTTCCTTGAGGAAGAAACTTTACTTACATTGCTTTGTATTGGTTTGTTTATACAGGGTCTTTCAAATAGTCTATTTGAAAGAACCTGCATGAGTCGACAGTGTCTTTATTTGTTTAAAGCGCCCTACACAATCGGACTAAAATCAGTTCTATCTATCTATTTATTAACACAAAATTAAGTCGATATTTATTATATATATGTAACATGTGAAGATGACAAACATAAAGCAAATTTATACTACGATTAGTATTAGTTACATAAGATGTGGCGGGTGCCGTTATTTAAGGGAGAATATAGCCCGAATGAAATAAAAAAATACCCGATGCGCTGTTCTTTATAACTGGTGGGAAATTTTGTGTGTTTGTCGTTAATGTTTAATGAGGGTCTATCCGTCCGTGTAGGGCACAGTTAGCAGATTATTCTTTCGCGTGTTCTATTGACTTGCAGTCTGGCTAACATGTTGGCCAGTAAGAAAACATAGATGTTTTGTGCTGCAGGTGTCTCAGGTCTCAAGCTGTTCGATCCGTGCTGTATAGCCTTATCAGACTGCTGTGTAAGTGGAACATTAATTACAAATAGTCCAGGTATCAACACACTATAAATTGTTGGTATACTACAATTGGAACGCCTGCATGAGAAAACAACCCTTAACGCCAAAAGAAGATCACATTGCCAATGACGTGAAAATTAAAAAAGTAAATTATCATTGAAATGTTAAAAATAAATGTGATTAGGTAACGATAAGCAAATCCTAAGGTTTTATATTTATTGAAAGACCTAAAGAATTGGATATCTTAAAGAATTCAACATGATCGAATAGTGAATTGCGTAAAGTGTGGATTTCTCACTCCGTCATTCTGTTTAGGGGCGTGTCCCCGAGAGCACCGAGCACATATATTGTTTATGTGGGAATTACTGACTCGGTTTGAATGAAAATAGAATTCATTACATCTTTCATGATCCCCAGCACCGCCTTAAGTCGTATTAACGCTTAAAAACTAAATGTATAGGAAGGACAAAATTCAGTTCTTATATACAACTAAGGGTGGTTAAAATAGGTAAATCTTCAGCGTTTTCGAATTTAAGAATTGCATCAGTTATTTAAACCAGGAAGTTAATCTGGAATAATAATAATAACAATAACAAGAATACTAAATTTAGACAAAGAAATCAAATATTTAGGACTACCTCTATATTGGTTAAATGAAAAATATCGACTTGTTTTTTTTAAATGTGAACCTTAAATCAATTAACACACATTTTAAATTACTTTATTTACGGATTGAAATAAATCATGAGTAAAACTGACAATTTTAGAAATATGATATACATGTACTCTGGTATTAAAGTATACGTGACATGTAATTAGTAATAAAAGAAAAGTAGGAATTTCAATAGGTCTTAATGTAGCTTACCTTTTTGAACTGTGAAGAAAGATAACTGTATTTTCGTTTATTTAACACGGTCGTTTTAGTTTAAATGAAGTCATTTCCAAAGAAATAGAAATCTAACTTTTATCTGCTTTTCATTTCATTATGCATTTTAGTCTTCAATGAAATGTTAATAATTTATATAATAGAGCATAATAACACAGACATGTAAGTATCATGTTTAAGTACAGCTTCTAAACTCTTTTAAATGATGGCTGCATGTCAATTAACAAGCAAGACATAATTTTTTTTTCACATAAACAATGAACATTAAATTTTATCAAACTGTTTTATGTGTAATGTTTACACTCGCACTCATCCACACACGTATGCACACACGTATGAACTCATTATATATCGTAATTGTTAGCCCTGAAAATGTCCATGATTTCAAAAATGATAATACTCCACTATATTGAAAAATGTATCAAACTGTTTGTATTTAAACAAACAAAAAACACCATGAGTTTCGTGTTAAAAAGAACATGATTTTTCATTCGAACATTTGTAAAAAACCGGAGTATAACATAAATCAATTTATGTGCTCAGCAATTATGTGTTTACATACATGTTTTATATAGAAACATAAATGTTTCATATAAATCTGACTGTATAGATTGTATTTTTTTATTATACGAGTGTCTGTTTGTATACTGTACGCATGTTCAAATTGAGAGAATAAAATAATAATAACAGTATAATATATTATTAAGCAGTTTCATGCATCACCTTAAATAGTGATAAAAGAAGACACTGATACTCATTTGTTTTGTTCTTACTTTCCATTATTGCACTAATTCCATTACACGTTTCATTTAATAAGACGAATGTCTTCCTTATCTCAGTCGTTTGCCAAAACCAAAACACCCTTAAAATATTTAACCTTAAACTAAGTATATTCTTTAAGTATCACCATTCTGAAAGGAACTCCACTGAGGTTTATAAGGCTATACAAAGCTATTTTCCCCATAAATCAGCAAGGGCACTTAACAAAGAAAGGTATGCAAAATATAATTATAAAATATACTCGAGTGAGCCAATAATCTTAAAATTAACATACTACTTATTGGTCTTTAAATTTATTTTTTGTCTATTTTCAGTGGAGTCCCTTTAATGTGAATCTGTGTGATTTAATTGAGGTCTATGCTGGGTCTATTAGGGTTGTTTTGTCATCTATATCAACAACTTCTTTCCCCGTGCGTTTTATGCCTGCATTTTTACATTTCTTTTTCTTGGTTGAAATATAGACACATGCAAACAACAAGAGGATGACAATGCCGAAAATAGCAAAGCGCACCATGACTGTGAGGAAACTGCGAACTATACAACCTGTATGAATAAAAATGTTTCATTTATACACCTGTTAGTGATAAAGTGTTTCATTTTTATCATATGTGACGAACACTGCAACGTTATAAATTTCACATGTACCAAACGTAGGCTGTTTTTTTTCATTTTCTCGTGTGGCCATGCGATATTATGAAAATAATAATAATGAAAATAATAATTCTCACGGTTTACAACTATTCACTATTTAGGAGACTAAATGTGTGAGTAGCTGATCATCCCAGTCGGAATACGCGAAACGGTATTCCGAGGGACCCGAGTTCGAGTCCATGACAGACTCACCGTTTAAACATCAACATGAAAAGATAACACAAGAAAAAGAGTATGGTTCTTATTTCCATTTTTTTCCTCTTGTGAATCACATTTGAAATAATCATAGGAGGGACAGTTGTGGTCTTCCTACGCCAGTAAACATATGGAAAGTCGCCATGTGACATTTATAGTGCTGGTGAGGCGTATTGCCAAACAAAAGCATTTAATGGAGAGAAATTATTATCAAATACGATTAGAAAAAAAGTTTGCTTTAATATAAATGTCTTACAAAGTTTGCAATGTATACATATTAATTAAAGTAAACTATAATATTGTGAATAAAAGCCAAAACAAAACTCATATACATAGATACTTTTTACAATATTCAATCAATTTGCAGACATACATGTATATGGTGTAAAATAAATAATTGACAATATTTTTGCGGAAATTCAAAACAAAACATCCGCTTGACGTGTTTCTAATTTAATGTAATATTTTATTTACTTCCTCCGTTGTTGGTATTGGAAAACCATAGTTTTAGCTAATATATAACAATATCTATTTAACGGAACAAAATAATGTACGGATAAAATGGAAACCCGGGTTTTTTCTGCGCAGCATTAAATTACAATATAGTGAGGAAAGAACACTACTTACGAATTTCGGACTCTTGTGCAACACAATCTGAGCAGATCATCTCCCAACATATCATCGGCTAAATGTAATATAATTTAATGTAAACTATTTTAATTTCGTCGATTGATAATAATATACATGTATGATTGGGAAAATAAACACAACAATTTAATTTTTACATAGCTAAACTATTTAAATTTAACCATTTATTCTCACTCAAATTTGACGAAAGCGGAAACCACTCCTAAGGTCTCTTTCCTGAAAAAAATACTAGCCCAGTTCAACCGAGAGAAGCACATGCATGTATCATTTTTCTTGCAAAATGATGAGAATTTGTTCACTCTTTGATAAAATCATATTCTAAGCTATAAAAACCATCGCTTTATTTAATTTCAATTGTAACCGTCCATTAGATTTACTTTTTCGTGCATTTGAATTACTTTGTATGACAATTGAATCATTCATTATATGTTGGACATATTTTCTTACCGGTAATGTTGTGTTATTAAAAACAAGTTCCTCAACATCTGAACCACCTGTCATGCCATGACTACCGTTTCTAGTTTCTACGTACATAATAACTTTGATATCATTCTCCTTATCCCACGATGTAGTTAAAGCGTTTCATCCGTAATGGTATTAGTGTCTGACAGATCTTTGATATCACGTAACTGTTCATAATCATTCTTGATTGGATAAGCACGATCATTGATCGCTTCAAGAAGTTTTAATTCTTTTCCAGCATTTATGTCTTGAATGTTATCAAGAATGTCTCTATTGTTTTGTGCGTTATCGAGTTTGCCAAATGAAGCCGGTTTTATTCGTGTACGGCCAAGTTCTACCTCTCTGTAACGATAATCCCTTTTGTTGTTAATATTATCGAGTGCAATTGTCTCTTTTCTGTAATTAGGTTTCGGTTTAATGTCCTTATTCGCTGACTTCATGTTAATGTTTTCAAATAAACCATTTTCTGCACACACATCATTTGGTAAAACAAAAACACAAAGAACTGTCAGAGAGGAAACGGTCTCATATGTTGTTTTCATATTTTCCCCCGAATTTTAAAATCCGACAGTATACCTAATTGGTGTGCTCTTCTTATTTATTAATCGGCTTAAGAATGATAGTAACATCGCATCAAGTGCACCTAATGTGTAATACGTAAATACGTAGAATTACTAATTTAATGCATACGTCATCAAACAATTTATTTTTTATGCCAAGGCCACTGTCGCTTTTCCAAATGCTGATCTAACATAATAAAACTGATAAGATTGAATACATTTAAAAAATAATCGACCAGTTTACGTAAAGCGGTGGGTATCAATTTCAGAACAATGAGGAGTCTCTATTTTGTTTTGGTTATTAGAACAACAACAACAACATCAATAATAATGACTACTACTACTATACTACTACTACTACTACTACTACTACTACTACTGCTACTACTATACTACTACTACTACTACTACTACTACTACTACTACTCTCTACTACTACTACTACTACTACTACTACTCTCTACTACTACTACTCTCTACTACTACTACTACTACTACTACTACTCTCTACTACTACTACTGCTGCTGCTGCTGCTGATAATGTATCAATCAATATAAAAAAATACATGATGTTATGAAAATTGACGTAACAAACGTGTAGTTTTGCAGATATACTCGCAGATTAATTTGTCTTGCTTTGGTTTTTGTCTTAAAGAGTGCCAAATTATATAGCACGCATAAATATTTGACATTGTAAATCTCGATTTATTTATAAAGATCTACGGTAAAATACCTTATCTTTTTGAAGTCCTACAAAAGTTGAAATGTTGATAAATATACCGATTTATTTAAACTTTAAACTAACAGTTTTACTAGTATGTATAATTTATGAGGTAAGAGGAATGATATAGAAAATAGAGTTTTCTTCCGCGGAATTATAGGTCATTTTTTTGGACGAAATAATGCGCTATAATTAGTTCTCATTTGTACTAGTATATTGTCATATTGAAAATAATATATGAAATGAGAGTGTTAAATGTGTCAAAAAGGACGAAATAACCATGTTTTATTATATTTAGAACGACTCAAAGGTTTTCCTTTATTTAAAATAAGCCAAGGTAGTAAATGGGTAAACGTTTAGAAACTTTATTGATTAAGTAAGCATTCACAGTTTCCAAAAATATCTAAATTTGTATTTTTTTGTTTTATTTTCCTTTGCGTTGTTCTTTTTTAATTAAAGATTATATAAAAGAAACCCTACATAGAAACCTATACAGTTAGTGTTTGACATTGGTTTAGAAAAAGAAGTTGCCAGAATAATAAGACACACTGTTTAATTTTGATTAAAGTTTTGTTCGGAAGGAATCGTTTTGCAAATAGTAGGTAACATGTTCTCTTGTTTTTGCCGTCGTAGAAATGCGAAAACACCGACCTACGTGTATGAAGAGATTGAGAAGAGGCAGTGTCAAGCCGGGTTAAAAACATTCATGGCCCGGAGGGGCGTTGATTGGATTCCAAGTACATGTAGTATCAACGCGGGAAACAGTCGGAGAAGGTATTGTTTTAATCCCCAGTTTATATTCAAAAGATCAGATAACAGAGCTGCTAACTATGGGATTTAAACCTGAAAGATAGATTAAAACATTATTAAACAATAATGTTTGATGTCATAGTAGCAACGTGGGAGGAGTTGCCTGTAAATCTCTTAACTTGATTTATCCATTTTTCAAACTTGACAAAACCATGTATCATTTTATGACTGACTGAGTAGCGAATAGCGCAGGCCATTATCGAACGCCACAACTGTGCCGGCTTACATTGGCCTACACTTTCTGCAGGGGTAGATATTGTCCAGGTCATGATAATTAGAGTTTAAGACAAAATTGGAAAACAGTTTTTAAACTGATACATGTTTACTTTTGAAAAAAACATCATCCGACATATTTTAACCATTTGAAATATCCAGAACATTTTATAATTATTATCCAAAATTATCCTACAAATTGAATTTGTGAAGCATATATGAAATGTTCATTTTTAGTAAATATGTTTAAACACTCCATTAGATTGTCAAGAAAAATAGGTATAAAACATATACACCTTTCTCATCTGTTATACGTGTATGCTTTCTTTTTATGATTCAGAGAAACAAGAATTCTCTTTCAATTTACATTGCTATTTTATTTCATATCAGTGACCAAAACATGGAGAAGAACAAGCTGCGACAGTTAGGAATATCTGGAAAAATGCAACCATCGGAAATAGCTGAAAGAGTACATAATTATTTGTGATGAGCGGTTCCTTGTTGTTGCAATTTTACAAGTAGCGTTTTGATAAAGACCAGCGTTACAAACGCACCGTGTTAGAAAGCGATGCAAACACTATTTTTATCTTATTCACAGCACACCAACACAACAATGAATTTGTTTGTTTGTTTGTATATTCGCGTCAATGTGTCCTGCACCGGCGAAGGAGCAAAAACCTGTGAACATGTACAAATCCATTATGTAGCAAAACTTATAAAGCAATTCTTATCATCCGTACTAGAATCATTCAAGCACGACGATTCCTGACATGATGAAGGCCAGGTTTAGCCAAATAGTAACTTAACAAACAAGACAGTTGTTCGATAAACATTGTGAGAGGACATACAATGAAAATGAACTATACGTCTATTTAAGTTTTTGTTTTCTTATGTTGTATAGATGGTATACCCTTATTTCTATAGACCTAATGAAGTATACACTATTTCTGTTTATTGATGTATAAATGCCCAACTATTACACAGATCTGTGCAGCAACAAAACTGCTTGGATTATTGTTATTGTTTTAATATCATGACAACCTTTGTCTCCATAAATATGGCCAGACAATGTTGAAATGGAAATATGAATGCGTTTTAGGATATTTTGAAAAGTGTGGCCATAATATGTAAGATAAGGCGTCATCACACGACTGAAGGTCAACATTTTATGCCTTGTTCCGGAATAATGACGTAGATATCTGTTTTCTAAATAAATCTAAATGGAAAAAGCATATGTTAAGCGGATAAAAATGCTCTTTAAGATGGGCGCTAAAGATTTTTTTCTTTTTAATAAACCTTGCTTATAAGCCATAATAAAGTAACTTAAAGTAACAAACCGTAGGTATTTTCTTGCATAATTTTCTAAAATTGCAATTATTTTAAGGTGATGGAGACGACAATCAGATTGTTTTCTTGCAAGACAATCTTCTATGCTATTTTAAAAAAAAACTCTACAAAGGTCTTTTTTAAGAAGCTTTACAAAGGTCCAAAACATTTGTAATCCGTCCATTGTCGTTTTTCTTTGTTGATCTTTGTTTTTATATTTCAAATTGAAAACATATGCAACAGGTGATAAAGAAATAAAGTCTGTATTATATTGTAAATAAAATGTTTTAAGTGGAATTCTTAGTCTGATTAAAGGTACTTTTATACAATTACAATGATTAATTTGGAAAAATGTAATAAGCAATGCTTTGAAGTTTTGAAGTTATTGGTTAAGACGTTCTTCAATTCAATTCAAGTTTATTAACATTAATGGCCATGTGCATAAATGGCCGCCGGCCCAAACACAATTTGTACCTTATCATATAAATAATACATTGCATGTGGTTATGATCATTACAAACAAAACAAGAAAAGAATTGATGCAAAGCATCAAAGGGCTTCCAAGCAAGAAATGCAGCAAGTGAAGATGAACTTGAAGACATCTGATGACCAGATATTGGTATATATACTTTTCAATGGTTAATTGGTTTTTACCAGAATTGTATATTATTTATGAATGAACTTTGGTAGGCCTGCTAGAGATCATATCTTTTTCACAGGAACTTGAAATTCTATTAATATTAACGATAATATCCAAAATATACAAATCTATAACATCCAAAATATACATATACCCCCCTATATGGTAATTTTATTTATATTATATAGGGGGTATTTTTGGATATCATCATTAATATTGGTTATTTGATAGAATTTAAAGTTCATGTGGTATTTTCTTTGGAACATACAAAATAGTATTCAAAATGAACAAAGTCTTTTAATTGATTTATTGGAAGGTCAATCCACTATCTTAATGAATTACATTGTACTTCAAAAACCTCATCTGACCCACCCGTGTGTTTACATTCCTTTATTTCATGCTTTCCAGTGTTTTATTGTAATTTATCAGATGATTATATTCTGATAAACCACTAGTGAAATTTATAAAATATAATTTTCACTGTAGCCGGACTATATCCGAATGCGGATGAAAAGAAAATCATAACTAAATGGAATAACAGGCAGAAATAAATGCCGTCATACGTAAATTGTGATTCTTTAGGAAAAGAAAGTCGATTCCACCATACATCATGTTAAAAATGTAACAAAATAAGAGAAATTTAACAGAGCTATATTTCAAAATTGATGATGTGACGTCATGATGTGATGACGTAACAAAGGAGAATGCGCGACGTTACGCGGCAAAATCAGTGAAAAATACTTAAAATCACTTAAAAGGAAGAAATAAAAAGAAAATTTATTTATTTTACGTTTAAGATTGAAATATATTTCATTCGTGAACACCAGCTATTATATTTTCACTCGTGGCTACGCCACTCGTGAAAATATTGCATCTGGTGTTCACTCAGTGAAATTATATTTCAATCTTACATGCAAAACAAACAAATATCCTCTATATCCACAAACCCATAACAACTCATGTTAAAATTGCAGACAAAAGTTTCTGTTGTGTCACAATATTCGGCAAGTGAACATTCCACACAAACTACCATAGAACAGTTAGACTTGAACTATAGTATACTACTAACTGTCGCACAACGTCAAAATAAAAGCGACATTAAAAGCTATGAACTATGTCTTTTTAAATATTCACGGTAAAAATGTCATAAGTGAAATCAGGGCCGTAAAAAGAAAACCGGACAGACCTACGGAAAAGACATTTCAAAACGATAATACTTTTGCATTTCATTACCTGCAAAATTATCCAGTTCGTTATTTATTACCATATAGTGCGACACGAATGACCGTTTCGTTAAACTAAAACTTCTACTATAAATAGATTTTCGGACTGTCACAATGTTAATTAGGTCATCATTCTATTTATAAGTACAGCAGTAACATACATAATAGCCCACATGATTAATGAAAAAAACGAAGAGCGCGATTGATTGACGGATAAAATAATTTCATTTGAATATGTTTGCATTGCGAAATTCTCCATTTCGCTATACCAACATCTCATGTTTTAGAATCAAACACCCTCATACCAACCGGAATGATCGGCTATTATGCCAGACCAAAAGGCCCGAGATGTTGCAATTGCCCTTTCTCATTCCATAATGACAAGATGTAAAAACTAACTTAAATTACTTACGTGTCTCTCTTTCTCTTTAAAAGAATAAAGACTTATACAAAGAGACGTTTCGTATCATTTTTTCATTTTCAGCTTACATCAGATCATAAAATGTGTGTACATTTGGAAAATATTACATTGGTAAATACTGTGAACGGAGATAAGCATACACAGGACACATAATCATAATATGGTTCTCATCCTCGATAACAGATTCACAATATACTAGTATACGTACGCGATATTCTCTTTCTATGATAAAATGTAATCCAGTCTCTATCTGTGGGCATCATATAATGTTGAGAACAGTTCTGAATTTTAGTTTTGAACGGGTACACATATATAGAGAAACTAAAATAATCTGGCACAGGTTATGCAGTAATTCATGAGTCCAGGAGATTAATGAATGTGTAATGTCCGACTCGTTCCTCTTTATTTCACAACCTTTTGTAGACTTTGTTTCTCCGTGTGTCACATAAATCTTTTGCGTAATCTTATTGGATCTGTTGTTTACGGATGTGAAAACCAATCTTTCATTTATCATTCGTATAGATATATATTTCTATTGGCCAGGGTTAGTGTTAGTGAAAATCTATATGAAAAATATCATAAGTGCTAGCACGAGTGATTCAACGCGACTATCAGCTGATGCTTCATTGATGTGCGGTTATATAATGTTTGTTTTTATTTTGTTTCAAACCGCAAAACAAGGAGAAAAGATAATATACTATCATGTATATTGTAAATGGCTGGGTACGGCAAGATTTTGTCGTATTCAAGCACTTCCTTCTTCTTTCTTTCTTCCTTTTTTTGTAACAATCTAAAACAATTTTAACAATAAAAAAGTGAAGATACTTACATGATTTTAAACAGAACTGCCTAAATGATGACGTAAATCATTTTGTGCAAAATGAATATTAAAAGTAAAAGTAGGTGTTGCATATATTTTTTATGTGTTATCGGAGTTGCAAAAAGGTAGTTTACTGGTAGAGAAAGACCCCAAGTGACCTTGCATGCATTTTTCCAGGCTCGAACGTGCATCTGAGTAGAATCACCGACGTTCAGTATCTTGCTAGCTAGGTACTAAACAGGTGATGATAATAATAATAGAATAATAATAGTAATAATAAAAATAATAATTATTATTATTATTGTAATAATGATAATAATAATAACATACTAGTATATGTATTTCAGTCATTAAACACTGTTTAGGTTACAACAGAAATACAATAGCGTAAATATTTACATATATACAACTATGACCGTATCTATTCAATCACAAATGTCCTATTTTCACTGGGAACCCTGTTAAAGACATTTAATATACATCCTGGTTTATCTTGTCTCACGAGTATTTACAATTAAAATACTTAATATATCAACACGCTTTTGATAAAACGCTCTACTCGGTCAAAAATGTTAAAATTTTTACATTCCCCTCCCAATAGTCTGTTGTCATGTATCTATTTTTTACCATTAATGAAAGAAAAGGGTTTTGTTGTTGCGGTTCAATATTTTATTTTTTTTTTCTATATAAGCACGCGTGCTCTATTTACACTTATTTATAGCCGAAATCGATTTTGTTATTTATAGAGTAGACGTAAACGTTAAGATTTTTTTAATTGATAAGGTTATTTTCACATGATGTCAAACCATTGCATTGGAAAATCCCTATAGTAATAAGAATTCATCTTTTTCCATTTAACATATTCAATTAACCATGTCCAAGCAGAAGAAAGAATACGCTCGGAAGTATACAGAGAAAATTAGAGGATAAATCATATATCTCTTGTGTTTTGAGGAAGATAGGAAGATAAAACTATTAATAGAATGGAGATATGGCAGGTAGTGGTCTCTTCGGGTTAGCTTTTACGACCAACCAACACAGTATAGGTCATATGGTGACTTTCTAACTCTACTGGTGAAGGAAGACGTCTGGTGCCTTTCAGCGTATTAGTTCAGTCACGAACAGATCTTCCTCCGCCAGTAAAGTTGAAAAGTTGCCATATGACCTATCTGTGTTTGAGCGACGTTAACCCCAACCAAAAATATATATTTAACACTTTTTCAGCTGTGTATTTAACCCGTAATATACATGTAATATTTAGAAAATAATAATAATAATAATAATAATAAAATAAGTAATAATAATAATAATAATTGTAATAATAATAAAATTCAAATATTATAGCTGCCATGGAACTTGTCATCCAATGTTCTCTTTCAATAAAGAATATGTGGTTTTACCTAAAATATAATTTTGTTCATTGTCTTATGTTTTAGAATTCCCTAAACTCGACAAAGGACCGTAATGAAGAAACTGACAAAGGTAACGTCCTTATAGTTCAAGTAAATTATGGTATTTTAATGTAATATAATTGATTTTTATATTATCTGCATGTTTTAAATTTAATTTCAATACTATAAGACTAAAATATGTTAAATATTCAATCTACTTAATTTGAATAAATTGAATAATTTTATTAGATAATACCTTTAGTAATAATATCATAAAGGTTGTATTCTAGTCAAGCTGTGTTAAAATATCAATCATCTTGTCCAAATTTTAACACAAAAAAAAAAAAAAATAAAAAAAAAATAAATTAAGAGATGCTGATTTAACATATGACACTATGAGTAAAACAATTATTGGGTCTACAAATGACTATTAGTACAATAAATAATGGTTCTAACAGAATTTCAAATATTCACCATCAGTAATATAATAAGAGCAGTCATTTGTTTTAATTTCTGAAACAAACTTTCAAATTATTTTCTTTTGTAGGTGATATGCATTTTGTCACATTACGCTTATTCGTCTTTGTTTCCATTGTTCTGGTAATGTTTATTGTTGCCACTGGTTGCTACCGCCTCAGGAATAACTGCAAAGAACGAGTAGTGATAAGTGAGCTTTGAACTTGGTCTGATATACTTGATCGATAGATGAAGAGAGGATGGATAAAAAGAAGATACAAGTCCAGGACTACAGAAGACGTGAAGTTGTGTGAAGTTTTATGACATTACGTGATTATGATGAATTATAGAAGCTACAGGGCAATTAAAGCATCTTCTTTGGAATCATAGTTTAAGTCATTGACAAGATGATCAAATCTGGATCACACTTCATAAGCCCACGAATCAAATTTATTATCTATTTTATGCTCTCATACGTTTAATACAACATATTGTATGTAAATTTACGGATGACCACTGTGTGCAGCCTTGACAATAAATTAGATGCTGTTATAGAGCAAACAGGATCGGCTTGTATGTAATATGAGTTTAATATGTAAATCATTGTTATTACAATGAACTTAAAAACAGACCCTTATGTCAAATAACAAAAATTAAAATTGAAATAAATTTTGATCCAAGTAAGCAGTTTTAACGTATTACGTATTCGCTTGGGAATATCACTCTAACAAGCATACATAAATACAACACAATACTAATGTCTGAAGTTTGAAGCTGTTGTTATCGTACAGAACAACTGTCAGGTCTTTAGCTTTAAGAACTTACATTCTCAGTTGAAAAAAAAACCCATACATAATTGATTGTTGTTTGTCAGAAGACCTGAATACATGTAAGGTTTATGTTATGAATATTAATATGATATTTGTTAAAAATGATTAAAATATATAAGTTCAAATTCTAGGAAACAAAGATTTTTTACACGAGTTTGTATGAATTCCATTATGCATGTCTTATTGCACATTCTACATGTATTGCTTGACTACGAAAACGCATACATGTACAACATTCATGACATATAACAAGAGCAAAGTAATATTTTATTTAAAAAAAATGAGGACACATAGATTCATGTATTAAATATTTACATTTGCAATGTACAATGATTGTTTGGTAATACATCAAGGTAATTTCCTTCTTATATTAAGTTCAAACATGTTTGTTCGCTTGTGTTGTTTTCAATCCAGATGTAGTTTTCCTGTTTACATTTTATAGCTTCATTTTATGTTTTACAATTTAAGTCATGACAAAAGCGCTTTATCATCAAATGATAATGTCTATTAATAACACTGTTTTAATTACTGAATTATTACAACACTCGAGTTGTAATGTATACGAAAATTAGCTAAGGGGATATCAAGACAACCATTGGTATAGAGCCTTGTCAGACTGTGCAATGATATGCATACTGTTTTTAGGATGGATAATCCATTTCGGTTCCAGCAAGACAAGGGATTATCGAAAGCTTGCATTAACAATAGCCTGTCACATATACCATTTCCACTGCAAACGAACAAGTTGTAAATAAAGTAGACGTATCGTATAACGCACATTTCGTTTTAACGGAAGTTAATGTTGATAAGGAGCGACCTTCTTGTCCAGTTTTATGACTAAAGTTCATAATTAAAGTTTTTATTTGAATTAACATTTTTATCAGTGTTGCTGTGTTACCATTTATTCGAAAGGTTTTTCGCTATACATGTACAAATATTGTGTCTTATTATAACGGAAGAAGGTCGAATGACTTGCAGTTTGCTTTTATCGTATAACTGCGGAAAAGGAAATAAATTTTATCATATTTATTAAGATATAGTTAGTAAATATGCATGGACTACACCGAAAAGTGAAGGTAATAATATTTCACAAATTAAATACCGAATAAAACATCTTCTATTAAAAACGATACTTCCTTCTTGCTTGTTATGTGTCCATGGCTTATTCATATCATACAAAAATTAAGTTTATTAAAATATGAATATGAGTAAGCATATGTAAGTTTTGAACTCAATAAAGAAATATAAAATAATTTCCATTTGATTGACTTATATATTCTATATTTATTTTTTTTCCTGCAGAGAATGGATTCTGCGATGGGTAATTTTATTACTGGCACTGGTGGCGATAGATCATACCTGCATAAACATGGTAAATATAATGATAAATTGGCAACACACCTTTATTCAAAATCCGTCTCTGTGAGTGTTAGGAAATTTAGGATTATACTGTTGCATTCAAGTCTAAATAAAGGGAAGATTGATAGAACAGAAATTAGTTGTAAGAACTAAAAGATGTAACAATATAAAGCTAATATCTCAATCATTTTTTTTGTCATTATTCAGAAAACCTGTGTTTTATTTCCAAATTATGTATGGTATTCGTTTTTTGATGTATGGTCGAACTGTTATTCGCTTTAATGATATAATTACTAAATCTGGAGCATCGGTAGCCACAAAAAAATGATTAAATACGTATATTTAAAACATTTATAGATTGTCATTTTTTTCCAGATAATCAGAAGCTGGAAGAATTCAATGATACGGATTGGTTGATGCCTCTTGCAATCTTTATAATAGTAATACTACTCATAGCAATTAGTATCATATCTCTAAAATGGTGTATTTTTCGACTTAAAAACAACAGCAAGATAAAGTGTCTTTCACCGAAGCAGCTAATAGTTTAAGAATACCTTTGTGTTTCCATTCTACATTGAAATAATTGACAAACTTGGAATATAGAAACAGCACAGAAGAAGGAAATCCAAGAAGAGGGAGCGAGAAAGACTTGGTGTTCTCTAAAAGTCTGTTTTTCTCTTTATTATTTTTTATAAATTGTATCTAAATATTGGGTTTGATTGTTAAGACACTGTATCATTTTAGCAACATGAATATTTCACTTATAATGTTCGACAAATCATTTTTTCCAGTTGCACATATTTTCATTTTGTTCAAGATTACGTAGTGGGAGTTAATTTGGCGAACGGACGAGGAGTTCCGATTGATTTGTGTTTTAAATTTATATGTCTGTACTTGGATATTTGTATCATTGTCATAAATCATTTTCCAAAGAACTATGAACCTTAAGCTTTAATCATATGAGACAGTATTAAAATCTCATTTTCCTCAGTACTTTGACAAACTTTATTATGATTTACACTATAAAGGCGTCAATGAAAAATATTTTTGTTTACGTATGCAAGAAACATATTCTTATATTCGTGTATGTACATTACCAAATTAATTTTATTCTACTCATTTTTAAATTCAGTATCAGTTTAGAAATTCATTCCTGGAACCCAGAAGTACTGAGCAAAAACATAAAGTTACTTGCTCAAGAAAACAAAGGCTTGAGTATGACATGGGTTGAATCAACGCGGCTACCATTCCTTAGATTATGTCGCGTTGACCACCCTGTCGCCGCTTAAATAGGTATTAAACCTACTCATTAAAAGGAACCTCTGTGTATTGAAACAATAGGCGTAAATAGCTGCTTAAGTGGCAGATGCTTTATAAAAGATGATTGAAGTACTTGTTCTTTTTTCCTACATTTCAGAAATCTGAACACATTGATTATTTATAACGGTAAATGTCATTTCCTTATTGCTGCAGATTTCAATGCAAGAGTTGGAGAGAAGCCAGATTATGTTGAAAATGAGTTTTTAATTCATGTAGATTTATTACATGAAGATTACATCGCAGATACTGTTATGTTGAGAAAAAGCCAGGATAAGCAAGTAAATGAACATGGCAAACTTTTATTAAATTTTTGTAAGGCCACTGGTTTAAGAATTTAAACGGGAGAACCGGCGCTGATAAAAAAACCTTGGGTAAATGTACATGTGTAAAAGAGTCAGGTAGAAGTGTCATAGATTTTGTTTTATGTAAGCCCGACCTGATGAAATATGTTACATCTTTTATTGTTGAGAATCCAGATATTATATCTGTTCATTGTGTTGTGAATTTTTCTTTATATTCAAAGTTAAACAGTATTGATGAGGAAGTTGTGCAAGGTAATATAAACAACCCTTCTTTTATGTATAAATGGGATAGTAGCAGGAAACACAAGCATTTAGATGTACTTGAAACTGAGAATGAATGCCATATATTTACAGAATTAGGTTTTTTTTAAATTCAGAAAATACGGAAAATGTTGATAAAAGTTTGTCTGACTTTTATGTTGCTGTTGATGAAATATGTACCCCCCTGTTCAGGAAAAATGTTGGAGATTATAAATTTTCATGTTATAAAAATAAATGGTATGACAAAGAATGTGTGGATAAAAGAAAGATTTTTACCAATGTTTAAATGAGTATAGACAAAATGAGTGTAATGAAAATAGAATAAATATGACTAAAGCTAGAATTTAAGTGAATATACATGTCTTATAAGAAATAAAATGTATAATTTTGACAAAATGCAAACTATAAAATTAGGAAAATGAGACTTTCAAAAGCAAAAGAGTATTTGGAAGTTGTTAAAAAGTTTTGTGTGGTAATAATATTTCGAACAATATTTTCTGCTGATCGTTTTGCTGATATTTTAAAGCAGTTTATCACACCCAGATCTGCCTTTTCAAGCCTGATGATGATAGCTAGCATTTTAGAACAGATATCTTAAATAATGAAACGTTATTTTTCAGATTAACGTGGAAATTTTCTTCTGCTGAGTTTTAAAAGCTTATAATGAGTTAAAATAGGAAAGCGGCAGGTCCGACTTGAGTTTTAAATGAATTGTTTTAAATAGTGGTCTCAAAAAGAGTTTTCTTATCGTTTTCTTAAAAGATTTATTTAATCAAAATTTGATCTTTCGGTATTTCCCTGAAAAAGGAACTGAAGGATACATCATCCTATACACAAAAAGGTGATACAGATGAACCTGGAAATTCAGACAATTACTTTATTAAGTACTATAGGCAAGCTATTTACTACAAGTTTTGAAAATAACCGATTGAAATTTTGGGCCGAAGTTAATAAATGTGTATATTGAGCACAGAGAGGCTTTCCGAAAATATGGGAACGATTGATGTGATATCTTTAATTCTACATGGATTAATTAATCATATGCTTGAAACAATAACAAAAAAACTTTTTTGTAGCCTTATAGATTTTACCAAGGCAATTTGATTTTGTTGTAGCGTGATATAATAGTGGGTTTAAAATTACATTAAGTTAGCATTACAGGAAACGATATTAGAAATATATAAGATCAATCTCTAATACTGTTAAATTTAAGGAGTTTAAGCATTTAAATACAGTTAGCACTGATGTTTTCATTGCATGATTGGCGTTCGGTCAAGGAGATTATTTCGCCTTTTTATTCTCAACTGTACTTTAACGACATTGAGGAGCATTTCATATTAACATAGACTTGATGGTGTAATCAAACCTTTGCTATACGCGATGATAGTGTAATTTTTGGCTGAAACCGAAACTAGCTTACAAATAAGTTTAGATCGTTATTTGAACATTGATTAGATTCTGTTATTTGACTATTGTATGAAATGGATACTAACAGTTAATGTTGAAAACTCAAAAGGCCATGTATTTAGAAAAGGTTGGCACAAACAGCAAGAAATATGAACTTTCACATATAATGGTCCACACTGTAGACATTGTTATTTTTTTTCTATTTAGGTATTTACATTTACCACATGTGTTGGGGGTGGTTCTTTTAGCGCAACGCACGAGGCATAAGCGAGAGGCGTTGAAGGCATATACAAACTCAAAGCCATATTTTCACTAAATTCACCTAATGTTGAATGTTAAAGCACTCCTTAGAACTATTTGATAGTTAGTTGTTCCTATTTTAAACTGATGGATGTGGAATATGGGGATTCAAAGAAAACCAATGTTATAGAAAGAATACATTTACAATGATTTGTAAACAAACTTTTAGGAGTAAGTGGCCAAAAACCAGAATAATTTTGTCTTATGGAGAATTAGGTCGAACAAGTTTACTTTCTAACAGGTAAATATGTATAGTAAGATACTGGTTTGTAAATATTAGAATGGCGAATGCACAAAATAATATAAGACATGTTAATACGATATGATGTTCAGAGACTTAGAAATGTATCCTAATAAGAATTTCATGGGACTGTAATATTAAACGTTTTACTAGACTCATTAGGTTTTACAATCATGTGTGGCTTATTCAAGGAGTTTGAAACAAAAATATTTTTATAGATGTTTGTAATAGCAAAGACTGTATGAAATAATTGTTTACAACTAATGGACGCTCAAATATAAACTTTTTTCATGTTTTAGATATCAGCCATATTAAGACATTGTTAAAATTACTAAATTTAGAAAAGCATTAACAAGACTAAGAGTGTCATCACATTATTTATTTGACGAAAGAAAATGTAGACTTTGAAATACTCTAGAGGATGAGTTTCATTTTTTATTTGAATGTCCCCTGTACCAAGATATTAGACAATGCATATGAAAAAATATTTTTGGAAGAGACCTAATGTAATTAAATTTAGAGAACTTTTTGAATCTGAAAATATTTGGATTGTTAGAAATTTTAGCAATATTTGTTTCCAAAAAATTTGATAAAAGAGACAGTGCATTGTATCAACAATAACCTTGTCCTCTCACTGTGTCATATATATTAATATATTATATATTAGATAAGTTATGACTGACGAATAAGAATCGACTTTGTAATATAACTATTTCATATATATCATGCTTATATCATGTCATTGATGTCATCATATACATTTTATATGTATCACATATACATGTATAATAGACAAGATATGTTATGATGAATAACAATTGACTTTTTAATAGACCTATTTCATGTATACAATGCTATATCATGCAATTGATGTTATGTCACTGCTGATTGTATTATTACTGTGTACTGATGGGCATATTGCCTTTGTATGAATAAAATTTATCTATAATAATCTAGGACTTAGTAAGGACTGAAAGTAGGTCTACTTAATGACTTAAGTGGTAAAAAAAACCAAATACAAGTAGTGTAATCTTTGTGTAATGAGTAACGAAGGTTTTTACATGGCATCCGACGTAAAATAAAGTCAGTAAAACTAAGATTGAAAAATATGTCTGACAATCAGAATCAATTTAAGAATACCCATTATCAACAAATTAGAACCATTTCAGAAATGTCGTCAACATGTCAACGTCTTGTATTTTCGGCTTCAAATTTTTATAGTTAGATTAACGTTTACGCGTAAAATAAAAATATCTTCAAAATGCAGCTCTTTGACGCAAAATAAGACAACCTTTCGTGATACACTGTACTTGGGGCGCAAAGAAGAGATCACGAAACATCATTCTTTCCTCAATCAAATATGTTTATTCAAGTTGAAATGTATAGCCTAAGGCTATGTGCGAGCTCAAGAATATCTGATATTTGTCTTAGCTTTGATATTTGCAATTTCACTTGTACAAAGTGTTCGGAGAAAATGCAACAGTATTGAGTTGTTTTGTGTTACAGTTTGAACAAATATTCATTTTATAAAGAAAGTCTACGAGTTTTGTCTGATCACCGCTCGTGTGACTAAAACACTTGTACATATCCTATAATTAACAAAAACACCAACATCAACTATAAATATAAAATGGGATTTCTAAATATATTTTTCAAAAATAGTATGATAAGCACAATTCTAATGCGCAATAAACACAATAATTAACAACAACAACAACAACAACAACAACAACAACAACAACAACAACAAAAGTTTAATAAAGTTTACGACAAAAATAGACATTACGTTATGGGAAAACTATCTACAGATACAACTTTGAGTTTTTGCATTGATGTAGACACTTATTATGTTTAATTTTCATACTGATTTTTATTTTTTGTGTTATTGTGTTTTAGATGTTTAGGCTCTTATAATTCTTATACAATGGCTATATACACTAATACAAGTCATGCAGAGGTATTTATACAATATATTTGATTAAATTCACTGATTTAAAGCATGGAGGAATAGGAATGCAATACTATTATAGATCCTGACTAGTGTACAATTGAAAGCTTTTTCAATCCACCAACATATTATATTCACTTAAGATTCATTGTCTTCTTCCACAGCAAGCGATAGCATTATATATATTATACTACAATATACTCGCTTCTGTCATGTCTGTCCACTTTGACCATATACTGCTGAACAAGGTTTGAGCAGGTTAAAGGTGAAGAATATCATTTCTTATCATTTCGTAAAGGCTATTCTCTTTCTCTATTTCAGAAACAAGCCGGGTTACTTCTTCATGTGAAAGGTATATCGATTTAACTCTTTCTTCTCTTTATACTTCGTCATCAGTTTCAATCTAACATTGTAAGGAAATTGCATTAAAGTGTTGATAGACAGGTGTTACACAAATTTCATTGCTTTGTATTTTGTATACATTCTATTGTACTACTTCTATCATCAATTCAACTGGTATAAAGAAAGTTTTACTAGTTAGGTTTCGAACGTCTATATGTGTCCTTTTATAGTTTTAATAATAATCCAACAGTTAAATAATATGATGATTATTTTTAAATAGAGTTAGTTACTATTACCAATTTATTGATACCATAGGGTTTTTGGGGTTTTATTTTAAACATTTCCCGGCCCCGATACAGGGAAAAAAAGGGTTTTAAAGAAAATATACACAAATTTAAATTAAACTCAACAGTTACCGGGAAAAACACAAACCCATTGTTTTCGTTTTTAAAAAATATTTATCTACAAAATTTTTTTTAAAAGATAAGTAAAGTAATGTCCAAATTTTAACCCTGATGGTTTTATATTTGGGGGAACCCTTTTGCTTTTTCCCTTTTCTTCCTATTTCAGATAAACCAGATCATATTTTTAAAAAAAAATATTAAACATCATTTTCCTTTTTCATATCAATTTTCTAAAATATTTTTTCAGAGGGATGACTTTACAGTAAAAATGACTGGATGATACCATTTTTTCTGTATGGGAAATTGGGTTTTTTTTTGATACTTTGTTTTATCATCGGATGCTACAGAACCTGAAAAAGGGAAAAATATCGCAAAAAAAAGGTAAACCGGGATTTTAATCTTAAAAATTCCCCAACGCTCATAATTAAAATTTCGGGCTTTGGTAGGTTATCAAGCGGGAAAAACAATAACAAAAAACCCAAAAACAACAAGAAAAACGATTCAAACATGCAAAAAAAAAAAGGAAAGTTTGTTAACATTGGACCTGGAATATGCTGTACTTTTTTAGCAAAGAAATATTTTTTTTAAAGATATCTTTTTTTTTCCAAAATAATGGGGTTTAAAAATAAAAAGAAAAGGTTGGTGCCCCTTTGCTATTTTTAAAAAATTCACTCTTTTTATTTTTTAAATTGGGGGAAAATATTCCTGGGTTTTTTTAAAAGGTCCCCAAAAAAAGGATCTTAATTAGCTGATGGACCAGTGTTTCTATTAAGAACAAACATAAAAATTCCTGGTCTACGTGTATGGACGACAGTCTTAAGTGTTAGCTTAAAAACTGTCAGTGTAAATTTCAAATATCTATCGCCTCGGTCAATATGGCATCTGCCGGTGAATATCACATCGTATTCAATGGCACACTAGTCAATAATTGTATAGTATTTTTATTTACAGATCCCTTTGCTTCAGTACTGCAGTAACGGGCTAGCTCCTATTACATGTAATAGGAGTTAGCCCGTTACTGCACTGAAGTGACGATACATTGCCATTGATATAGGAAATACATGTAGATTATTTACCATTAATTAAATAAGGGACGTGCTGTTATTGAGGTTATTTTTGTATTAATTTTTATTGTACTATTTGTTGAAACTGACTGTTAAGGTTGACACTGGAGATTTTTTTTATTTCGTTGTTTGTTGCTTAAAATATGTTTACATGTGTTTTGGTTGTGTTTAAAAAATTTCCCCTTATACCCCATAAATTGGGGAAAGGGGTGAAAAAGTGTTTCGATGTACCCTTTTTTAATTTTTGGTAGGAAAAAAAAAACCTTTTTTCGGAATTAATTAGAATTTTTTTCCCTGTTTTTCATTGAATCTCACGACCCTTATCATACAATGTTTTTATCAGTATTATTAAATATTTAAGCCTCTTTGAAGTCATACAACATGTATATTTATAAAACATTTCACAGGTATTGTATATATAAATCATTAAACAGAGAATCGATTTATTGCTTTTGTTGCTTTTATCTTTAAAATGATGATGACGATGATGATTATCATTATCATTATAATATCATGTAATCACAACGATCAGAAAGTTTAACATAATCGATAAAATTGATACTTCAAAATGAAAGAAGTACTATGTTTAGATAAATCATACCGTTATATTCTATTTATAGCTTTCATAATTATCATTCATGTTCCGGGTTTACAGGTAATAACATAATTTACTGCTTAAGTCATTTTTATAGACAATTACTCGATAAAATTGTACGTAAATGAAAGGTTTTGGCAAAAAAGAACCAACAGAAATGTGCTTTAAAACTTAATTTTTATTTTTGAAATGCTAAAACGAAATCGCGTCGAGATGAAAACGATTGGTGTTATTTTAAACATCACGGACTTAGTTAATATTTATCAGGTAAATTTATTTCAACATATATTCTTTAAAATCTATTCTTGAACTTAATCATTCATTTATAAATTACATATAGACATAGTGAACATAAAACAGAAAGCATCAAAACTGCTGAATTTTACTGTTCAAACGAATTTTACTTTACTTTCATTTTATGTCAAAACATTCGGCTTTTAAGATAATGAGATAAAATATTCTATATATGAATGGCTAGTGCATTTTTAGAATTGCATATATAATTTAATTTTATCCCTTGCAGGGAGTCTCAAACTCAACTGGTTATCAAGAGGTTGTTTCCACCACAGGTACTTCATAATCTCATTATTATCATCATCGTTCAAACCGTAAAAAGATATATATTTGATGTTCTAGTATGAATGCTAAAAATATTGTTACTAATATTACTTAACAGTATTGATGGCAATCCTTGTAGTTAAATGATATTTCATAGTATAAATATACAAACAATAGTCAAATTTCACTATTCTAAAAATATAATCATCATAACATACAAATGGGTTGAAATGATTTGAAAATGAACCTGTAATGCTATTTAAATATGGTTCCAGCATAATAAGTGTGAAAAGGTTGCAGATAACAACATTATTGTGGGTCCTACCCTGCATGTTTTTATTATTTATTAGTATTCATCAACTATGACCTGTTCACTGAAACAATCTAATTTAAAGAACAGATTTTGTTTCAATCTGCATTATTTAACATGTCGGGCACATGGCATATACGCTAACATCAATAATTTTGTATTGTAGACGATGTCGAATTTGTGGTATTGCGCTTCCTGTTCTTTATACTGACGGTAATGTTAATGTTTGTGGTCGGCCTCGGCTGTTACCGTGTAAGAAATAAATGCAAGGAACCTGCTGTTATATATGATTTATGACTGTAATATATGGAAGCAAATATACAAAAAGGTTCCAAACACAAGAAAAGAGGAAACGATGTCAACAGACGTAAACATCAAATTCCCCGGTGCGGTGAATATTGATATAGAACAAGATGAAGAGGGAAGAAGGTGTTAACATATTATAAAGTTTCAGAGAGAGAGAGAGAGTTCTTCAATAAGATTTCTTTGTGATGTACAATGACAGACAATAGATCATCTATTTCGAGAATAGTGAATAAAGGCACATTTAATTGCTCAATATAATGATCAGTCAATGAAAATATAATCTATATATTGATTAAAGGACATCATCTTTATATTCAGAGGTTGATTGAATATACTAAATAAAATATGAACACCATAAATTGTGTTTTTTAAATCGAACATTTAAAAACATTAAATTAGAATATTTTGCAGTAGTTCGAGTACGTATATCTTTTGATGGTACTCCACCCTTTTCAACTTGATATATTTTTCATCCTAGTACTTCCTAAGCCTTAAAACCAAACAAAACCAAAACACAGATAACTTTGATGCGACCTTTTGTGAAAACCAAATTATAACATGTATCAATTAATGTGATAAGCAATTAAGCGTATACATACATGTTTATATACAAGCGTAGATGCTTCATATACATTTGTATAGATTGGTTTTCACATCTCTTGGATGAGTGTTTGTTTTTATTATGCACGTATGTACAAATTAAGAAAATAGAATAATGATCAACTGTATATAAGCTGTTAGTTGCATCCCCTTAAATGGTGATAACAGAATATCATCCAACACGGATATATATGTATAAATCCCTTGTTGTTAGTTTCTCTTATTGCACTAATACCATTACACGTGACATTTAGTGAGACGAGCGTCAACCACATCTGGGTCTAAATTCGAATAAGCGAAAAATTAGAAATTTTATTAGCTGTTGGTTTAGATCTGCACTAATACAAAACATTTAATATCGGAAAAGTATCTCTTGCCACGTCATCTGTAAAAACCTCAGTGGAGTCCCTTTAATGTAAATCATTGTGATTCATATACAGTCTATGCCGGATTTATCAATGCTGTTTTATCATCTGTATAAACAACTTCATTCACTGTATCTTTAATGTCTGCACTCTTGCATTTCTTTTTCTTTGTTGAAATATAGACGCATGCAAACAACAAGATGATGATACTCCCGATGATAATAGCTCGTACTATGACTTGAAGGAGACCACGAACAAAACAACCTGTATGAATACAAAATTATCATTGTTACACCTGGGAAAGTGTTTCACTATTATCATCTTAGACGAAAATTACAATGTTATAATTTTCATATGTTTTATAATAGCAAACGCAGGATGTTTTCAAAATTTTATTATGGTCATGCAACAATTACAACAGCAACAACAATAATGATAATTATCATAAAATATATTGCTATATTTTATTTTTATATTTTGCTAGTTTTATGTTTTGTAAAGATACAAGTATGTTTATACATGAACAGAGCATGCTACTAAAGATACTTATACATGTTAATTAATAACGATGAATCAACACCAAAGATAACAATTTAAAGCAAAAGAGACTTATTCTGCTTTATTCATTTTTTCCTCATTGTTGATAACATTCGACAAATAATGCACGGAGGGACACCTTACGTCTTCCTGGGCCAGTAAAAAACATGAAAGTCGGCATATGACCTTTTGAGTGTTGGAGTGACGTAAAACCAAACAAGTAACCACATTTATTGGAGAGAAATTATTATCAAAGAAAGTGCATACTTTAGAGACAAATGAAATAAAAATTTGAAGCTTTGCTATAATTTTATTGTAATATACATATGGATATATATAGATTGTGCAAAAGAGCTAAATGAAAAATCATTTACACAGACACTTTTATATTGCTGACATATATAAGTAAGATATGAAGAAATATGAAATAAGTGAGGACAATTGTGGAAATTTAAAACACAGTGTCCGATGACGTGTTTCTTATCATATGTAATATTTGTCTTCCTTCTTCTGTGGTTGTTTATATCATATCAGTTTAGTTCAAAATATTGGGAAACCATCGCTTTTTGCCCATAAAATTCTATCAGCTGATACATCGATAAATGACCTTCACAATGTTTTTTATTAACGTTTTACCATTGGAATCCCGGCTTTTTTCTGCGCAGAACTAAATTATTCATGTATATACACCGATGGTAGAAAAGAATACTTACGAAATTCTGACTCTTGTGCAACACAATCGGGGCAGTTCCTCTCCCAACATATCATCGGCTAAATGTAATAATTATGATTCAATCAGGTAGAATATTATAATTATGATGGAAAATATAAACAGATTAATTTAACTTAAAAACATAGTTTTAAAACTATTAAATTCTTTATTTTAACTGTAATATGTAGTAAGCAGAAACTGCACCCATGGCCTTTAACCTCAATTAAACTTACTTACGACAAGGCGGACATGAATATATCGTTTAATCGGCAAAAGGATGAAATTATATAAACAACATTTCTTAAATAGTTTGACATAAAACATTTCTAAGCAATAAAAAGTCATCGGTTATTTAGTTTAAATTGTAATTTTGCATTTGAATTACTTGGACGTGTATTTTAATTATTTGGTACCACAGTTGAATAATTATATGGTGGGCAAGTTTTCTTACCGGTAATGTTGTATTATGAACACCAAGTTCCTCAACATTTGAGCCATCTGTCATGCCAAAATCCCCTTGTGTAGTTTCTACGTACATTATTACTTTGATTTCATTCTCCATATCCCACAGCGTAATTAAAGCGTTTCCATCTGTAATAGTATCAGCGTCTGATGTGTCTTTAACATCACGCAACTGGTTATAATCATCTCTGCTTGGATAATCACGATCATTGATCGCTTCAAGAATTTTTAATTCTTTTCCAGCATTTATGTCAAGAATGTTATCAAGAATTCCTGTTTTGTTTTTTTCGTCTTCGAGTTTGCCAAATAAAGCCCGTTTAATAAGTGTGCGGCCAAGTTTTACCCCTCTGTAACGATAATCCTTTGTATTGTCCATATCGCCGAGTGCAATTGTCTCCTTTCTGTAATTATGATTTGCTTTTATCTCCTTATTTGCTAACTTCATCTTTATGTCTTCATATAAACCATTTTCTGCAAACACATCATTTGCAAAAACAAAAACACAAAGATAACCCAGAAAGGAAACGGTCTTTCTAAATGTTGTTTTCATGATTAAATAATGATTATTTTCCACGAAGTCTGCACTCTGCTTATACAGTAACGGGTAGTAACATTTCGTAAATAATACGTAAATCTTTATAAATAAGCTAAATTTAAAGCATACGTATTTGATTTACTTTTAATGCCAAGGTTTCACTCCCTCTATTCCAAATGCTGACCTAACAAATAATACTGATAAGACTGATTTTAAAATTAATCGGTCTGATTTATATAAAACAATGAGTATAAATTTCAGTGCAATGGACATTTCGTTGAATTATTGGTCAATTTTTTATGAAATAATGTTTTAAAAATAGTTTTCAAATGTTAAAATAAATTTTATCTTAAAAATAACATTTAAATTAGAGTTTTAAATGTGTCAAAACATATTTTCCAACAAGAAGAAATAACCTTTATGTTATCTTTAGATGCATTCAAAGGTTTTCCTATTTTGAACACAGGTCAAGACAGTAAATGGGAAAACATTTAAAAACTTTGAAGATTTAATAATTAGCATTCTCCCAAAAATATCTCTCTCGTTTTATTTTTTGTTTTGTTTTCTTTTGCGTTGTTCTTTTTTATTAAAATTATATAGAAGAAACCCTACAAAGAAACCTACACATTAAGTGTTTGACATTGATTGAAAAAGAAGTTGCCAGCATAATTAGACAAACTGTTGAAATTAATTTTTAGAGTTTTTTTTGTTGTTGTAAAAAGTAGATAAAATGTTATCTTGTTTTTGTCAGCGTAGAAAAGCGAAAACACCGAGCTACGTGTATGAAGAAATTGAGAAGAGGCAAAGACAAGCCGGGTTAAAGACATTTATGGCCCGGAGGGGCGTTGATTGGAATCCGAATATCAACGCGGGAAACAGTCGGAAAAGGTATTGTTTTAATCACCAGTTCAGATAATAGGTCTGATAACTATGGGATATAACCGGTTAGAAGAATAAAACATTATTAAACAATAATATTCGGTGTCATAGTAACAACGTGGGAGGAGTTGCCTTAAAATTCACCACTGTAAATCTCTTTACTTGATTTATCCATTTTTCAAACTTGAAAACCATGTATCATTTCATGGAAGATTGTACTGACTGATTGGCGAATAGCGCAGGCAATTATCGAACGCCACAATTGTGCCGGCTAACATTGGTGGGGTAGATGTTGTCCAGGTCATCAGAATAAGAGTTTAAGACAGAATTGATAAAATTGTTAAACTGATACATGCTTACTTTTGAAAAAACGTCATCCAACATGTTTTAACGATTTGAAATATTCCACAACATTTTATAATTATTATCCAAAATTGCTACGGATAAAATTTGTGAAGCATATATGAAATTTTCAGTTTGGTAAATATGTTTAAATGCTCTATTAAATTGTCAAAAAATATATGTATAAAGCATGTTCACCTTCCTCATCTGTTATACGAGTATGCTTTCTTTTTATGATTCAGAGAAACAAGAATTCTCTTTCATTTTACATTGCTATTTTATTTCATATCAGTGACCAAAACATGGAGAAGAACAAGCTGCGACAGTTAGGAATATCTGAAAAAAAGCAACCATCGAAAATAGCTGGAATAATACATAACTATTTGTGATGAGCGGTTCCTTGTTGACTGCAATGTCACATGTAGCGAGTTCATTAAAATCTTCAAGGTCAGCGCTACATACGCACAATGTTAGAAGGCGATGCAACCTCCATTTTTATCTGTTTCACAGCACACCAACACAACGATATACTTATCTGTTTGTTTGGATTTTCGCGTCAAATTGTCCTGCATCGGTGAAGGAGCGAAAGCTTGTGAAAATGTGCAAAGCTTTGCTGAGGCAAAACTGTCACAGCAAATCTTATCCTCCGTACTAGAATCTCACAAGCACGACAATTCTTGACATGCTGAAGGCCAGGTATGGCCAAATAGTAACTTAACAAAGCAGCTGTTCGACAAATTGATCTTCTTCTTGCATCCGATGTTTACGAAAGAAAATTTGTAGAATGATGTGAACACTAATGTTTCCTAAATTAGTCGTATAGCTGGTTGCAATACATCAGTGTAAGGGTAAGATTTTCAGTTTTTAAGGGGTTCATTTATGTATTTTATCATTAAGACGTAGTAAATGTGTGATAATATTTTGTTGTTCAAAAAGATCATAGTGCTGGCATTAGTGATTCAATCCAACAATCAACTGCTGCTTGACTGGCTGATAAGAGAACACTATTACGAATTAAACTGAAGGGTGTGCGGTAATTTAACGTTTATTCAAACCACAAAACAAGGACGTTAAGATATATGTTAAAATAGCTATTTGTATCATAGTTTGGAGACCTTTCTGTTGACAATGTGTCAGGGTTAAATCGTATACATATACATGCACAGTGCGTTAACTGGAGTGCCGGTATTAAGTTACAACGCCAATCCAGAGAAGCCATTGATGGCTCAATTTTTGTGGGGTTTACATATTTCAGAGAAAAACGCAGAAAGTATATTCAAGCGATATTTTCATTTTTGGGGATATGGCAAAAGAACTGCATTTTGCATAAAAGGAAGAACAAACACGCAATGATATTCGGCTGCCATCAGTAGCTCTTTTGTGCTTATTATACTATAGATTTGAAATCAGACAAGTGTTTCTACTTCCAAGATTCAACAATAAAATGGAAATTATATTCACGCGACTTTAAACAAAACTGCCTAATCAATAACGTACATTATCACAATATAAATACAAAAAGTAAAGGAAGGTGTTGCTTATATACAGTATAAGCATATTACTTTTGGAGGAAGACCTCAGCTAGCATACAGAATTTCGGTGCCCGTCCGTGCGTAAAACAATGAACAGAAAGGCACAGGCACCTGAGGTCTTCCTGCACAAGTAAAGCTTGGAAGTTGCCATATGAATTAAACTGTATTGATGCGACTTAAAGACCACCCCCCCCCAAAAAAAAAAAGTAAAGTCTTTGACAACTCAGATGAATGATCTGTTTAGCATTTCTCTAATTATCATGACTATATTTGCATATATTTCATTCATTTAACATATTGTTGACTTATTGTTTATTGTCGCAGCATATATTTTACAATGGCATACTGATTTACATATATAGCCGTATCTATTCATTCATAAGTGTCGTACTGTCAATGAAAAACCCCGTTTAAAGAGATTTAATATACACCCGTGTTTATCTAGTCTCACGAGTATCTTATTAACATTTAAAATACTTTATATCAAAAATAGTTATTAGTGATACGATTTTGATGAAATGCTCTACCATGATTGTGTATGGTATTTCAATCCAAATATGTTAAAATTGTTTTTGTTGTTGTTGTTCTTTAATATTTCATTTTTTCTGTATAAGCACTCTGACTATCACGTGTGCTCTAATTAGTGCCGAAATCGATTTCGGTAATTATAGAGTAGTCGTAAACGTTCAGTTTAATTTTTTATTGATAAGGTTATTTTTTTTACATGATGTAACCATTGCATTGGGAAATCCCTTTAGTAATTAGAAATTCATCTTTTCCTATTATACGTGTACAAATGACCATGTCCAAACACGCGTGGAAGAATACCGAGGGGATTAGAGGATAAAACAAAAATATATATCTAACGCTTTTTCAACTGTGTATTTAACCATTAATATGATATTTTCAAAAATAAAATGAAAATAAAAATCGAATACTTTTAGCTGTCATGAAAGATGTGGTCTTAACTATAATATAACTGTTGTATATTGTCTTATGTTTTAGAATACCCTAAACTCGACAAAGTATCATAGTGAAGAAACTGACAAAGGTAACTTCTTTACAGTTCATGTAAATTATGATATTATAATGTAATATTGATTATTCTAACACGACCCGCATTTTTCGCTATTGAACATAGAAGAACCGAAAGTGTGTGTTTATGCTATAAAATCACTGTTTGGCGTTCTACATTTAGACATGTGACGTAATCATTATACACGTGACGTAACCACTAAAATGTGACGCGCTGAAATTAAGAACGGAAACAAATCAGGCTCAATTTAGCTTCATAATCAGGTACGGCAGCATTTATTTGTTGATGTCGTGTTAGAAAAGAAATATTATATCCAAATCGGTGATTTTATTGCTTGATAAAATCACTGTTTGTCGTTCGGATGCGCATCATTATATCAATCGGGCTACGCTCTCGTAATATAATTCCTCGCATCTGAACTCCAAAGAGTGATTTTATTGAGCAATAAAATCACAGTTTGGGATATATATTTTTAATTGAAATATCTGCATGTTCTATAATTCAATAATATAAAATTAAAATATGATAGACATATAAATATTGTAATAGATAATAGCTTAAGTATTAATATCATACAGGTTGTTTACAAGTCAAACTATGTTAAAATATCAATCATCTTGTCCAATTGTAACACAAATGTCATGAAATATTGGCGTAACATATGACATTATGAGTAAAACAAATATTCAGTCAACATATGACATTATATGTAAATAAATATTGGCTCTACAAGTAAATGACATTATACGTATATCAAATAATTGGCTCTGTATATGACACTACAAATAAAACAAATATATATTGGCCCAATCAGTAAAATAAATTTTGGTTCTATTAGTTCAATAAATAATGGCACTATCAATAAAGCAAGTATTCTCTATCAGTAATTATTACAGTCATTTTTTTCTAATTTCTGAAAAAAAAATTCAAATCATTTTCTTTTGCAGGTAACATGCATCTTGTCACATTACGCTTGTTCGTCTTTGTTTCCATTGTTCTGATAATGTTTATTGTTGCCACCGGCTGCTACCGCCTCAGGAACAACTGCAAAGAACGAGTTTTTATAAATGAGATTTGAACATCGTCTGATGTAGGTGAATGATATATGAATAGAGGATAGCCAATGACGGACTGCAGAAGACGTAAAGTTTTGTGAAGTTTTATGGAATTATGTGGTTATGAAAAATTATAGAAGCTACAATAGAAGCGAGTTCTTTGGAGTCATAATTGAAGTTATGATGATCAAGATCTGGATAAAACTTCATAAACTTATGAATAAAAATTCTTGATTTTATGCCCTCATAAGTTTGATACAATTTTACGCAAATTTATGCAAATTTACGAATGGCCACTATGCCACCTTGACAACTAACCAGATGATATTTTAGAAGAAACGGGATAAGTTTGTACAAATATGATTTTTAGATGTAAATTATTATTATGATCTTTTAAAAATTGATTCTTAATGTTACATGAAAAGTTTTTTTTTATTCGAATTA